ACGCGTTTTAAGTCGCTTACACTAGCGCCAGTAACCGTGCACTAGAGCACAAGGTCATGTTAACCCTAAAGGCCCTAGGCAGCCTAGCGTCTGGCAACAGCTGCTAGACATTACCTCCCTACACCTAGTCCCTCTAAGCCTAACGTAAGCTGCCCCTTATTTATGCCCAGCCAACTAATCCACTAATTAATAACCTCTAGCCCCTTAAGGCCTACACTAAAGAGAGTCTTAACAGGCGGGATTTGAACCTAGCCCCTGTTAACAGCCAGAAGACCCACTTAGTGCCTAAACAATTATAAAGGTATAGGTAGTGTGCTACGCCTGTTAATAGACTATTCTAGTATTACTAAAAGATTAATTAGTTTAGGCACTAAGTGCCTAAAATACACTATATATAGCCTTATAAAGGGTAACCAGGCTAACCCCTTACACTAAAGGGGTATATTAAATATAGTAAAAGTATATATAAATTAACTAGTAAATATATAGTTAACTTATAGTAAGTAGTTAAGAAATAGGTAGTAGAATAGCCCTACTTTACTTATAATCTTACTAATTATATAGCTAGGATTAGCCTAGGACTTCCTAACTAAGAAATAAAGAGATTTCTTTAGTCTTCTTAGATATTTACTATAGTTATATAATATATAATATAGTTAATTAATTAACTATTATAATCCTTACTATTTAATATTAGTATTATAATACTTAAGCTACGTATTCTAAGTTTTCTAACACTGCTGCTTACATCTAGCATTAGGATACTAATCTGTCCTCTACAGTCGTGATAAACTCTTATCCTAGCATATCACGAAACCACCACTAGGAGCCCCCTTGTGTGTCATGATGCCGCAATAATAAACCCGATGGTTTCCGTCTAAACTAATTTCCCCTTCTTCGTAATAATAGACAACCCTTTCGTCACCGTGGTTCACATTAGTCCTGCCACCATCGTACGGGCTTTTATTCCTAAGTGGAAACTCATAGCGATTGACATCAGCGGGGCAATCGTTAGGAAACTTAAGCGTATTCCCCTTGGAGTCATCGCTGGGATACGGGTGTGGGTATTTGTTTCCTGAAGAGGATGTTAGGGCGCTGCTAGACAGGTGGGCCAGGGTGAGCGGCCAGAGCATCAAGGACGAGAAGGAAAAATGAAGACATGAATGAGAAGAAGCAATAGTTTAATGGAAGAAGATGTTGAGAAGTTTGGAAACATACGGCCACGTGTTTCGCCCACGAGGTAGAGATTGGTGCCTCGTTGCGCAGCAAGATAGATTTCGTGCCCCGTGTAGGTTTTGTCTCCGCACTTGAAGGATTGGGAAGAACTGGGACCGTTGACAAGCTAGAATTGTAAATTCTCAGCAATGTCATTGAAAGTATAGTTATTTTACGGGGTATATTACGTCGATAGGCGTATTCAAAGGTACCCGAGCTTCAAGTTCGGTTGGAAGCCCGTTGGCTGTGCCAAGGAGAACAAGCAAGGACGCGGAGGCGGAGAATCTCATTTGGACCAATTGGAAAATGAAGGGCTTCGGTTTCTTATGTGTGGGAGGTAGATGACAAGGAAGGCAAAGTTTTTGAGGCTTGAGTTGCGAGTGACTTGTGATGATTGAGAACTTGGAGAGGTGCGCGAGCCCTTATATACATAATCATTGCTGTGCAACGCCTTCGTGCATCACTTGTAACTCATTAGAAATACATAGATCAAGACACACAGGTAAGCCTTACCAGCGGTTCATTGCATAGGGTTTCTAAACATAGAAACGTAGGGATGATTCTCGAGGGAGTTGAGGATAGTACTTGGTACGGTGTTACTGTAAATGGCACCGTGTCACAACTAGTGTCTTTGAGCCAGGCAGTGTTGCTCCTGAATGAAAGACACTGGCCGATCGTAGCAACGACCTCCCATGAGTTTCAATCGGCATGTAAGACTATCCTTAGCGATGCGTCATTCTATCGCGAAGCCCTAGAGAAAACATGAGGCTGAGAAACCATCATCTCATACTACGAATCCTGTCGCGGGGCCGGGTTTACGTTATTACATCCTGCCTTGTAGATCTTTACCATTATGATCCTTTTTTGCTTGTCAAACTAGGTATCGACCCATATATTCCCAGTTTCTGCCTAGGCGTCTCAGCCTCAACATATCAATCTCAAGAAATATACGGAGGTGCGTGTCAAAAGTAGTGATCCATAGTGCCAAGGCCCACCCCCTGTCAAGTAATAGGGGTGATTACAGAGGTGCCCTCTATAGATAGTTACTACTACTGTTTTATATTACAGTCTACTAAGTTATTTAGTCGCTCTTACTGTTATTAAATTACAAATAGATTACTATTAGAGGAGGGAAGGGTGATTAGTCTGGACTCAGGAAGTTACGCGTGACCGATCAGAAGAACTAAACACTAATCGCAGGCAGAGGATATAAGCCCTCAAGCAATAGATCAGAGATAGACATGTACAGAGTACGTTTACATATTTATTCTTAGACCTACCTTTGCCTGATTAAACTAAGGCCTTTCTATGGTGAAATCCCGTCGGAATAGGGAAAACCCCCTGTTTCTTGGTTGGGAAATCCCGGGCCCATCCTGGCCATATGATTGATGGAATCACCCGTAAAGTTGGGCTGTTTCACCGCCCATTCCCCGACGATTCGCCGTGGGGCAACCGTGTATTTGCCAGTTAATTCACGTGTAATCCCGCCACATTTAAAAAGTTGTTGTTGTTATTAATAGTTGTTATTAAGTAATAATTATAGTAAAGTAACTCTTATAAGGGTATAAAGAGAAAGAAATAATCTTATTACTTTAATTAGTTAGATAATTATAAAGTAGGTCTAGATAGGGTAGTAGGCCTTAGTACTACTATAGTATTAGGCTAAACTTTAACCTGCTTGTTAGGTAAATATAGCTATACTTTTTAATTATCTTAGTAACAGTACTTTAAGCTTCTTATATACACCTATTATAATTCTAGCTAGTAAGAGTGTCTTATACGTAGGTTATAACTCTACGCTACTTACTAAGGAGTTTATACTGATTTATTATATATAGTATAGATTACTACTTTTAATATATAATAGTACTAAACTAAAGTTAAATACCCTGGTTAGGTAACTAACGTCTACCCCCCTGCTGCAGAACTTTACTTTTAGTAAATATTCCCCCTCTATTATGATGTCAGTTATAGGGGGTAACATTATAGGGGTATTTTACTTACCCCTGTCACCCTGTACACCTCTATATTTAGCTAGTCTCTAAACATACCTAACTTTAATAAAGTATATTAAGACCTATAACAAATAAGAATTAGGTACTAGAATATAAAAGTAGGCCTATAATTATAAACTATAATTATAGCCTATATTACCTTATAATATACCCCCTTAGATCTACTACTATATATTATAGCTAGTCTAGTACTCTTTAAACCTTCTAATTAGGTATATCTTACTAAAATTTAGGTAGTAAATCTTCTCCTATAGGTATATATAGTCTGTCTAGAGGACTTAGTAGGAATTAAACCTATAGGGTAATAGTGTCTTTTAATACCTTATAGTATACTTAAACTATTTAGGTATAAAGTTAAGGTTAAGTAGAGCTAGGCTTATTAGTATAATAAATAAGAATAAGACACTAGAACACAAAAGTAGACCTATAATTACTATACTATAATTATAGCCTATATCACCTTGTGATATGTTGTCAAAACAACGCTGTTAATTACAGGCAGTAATTAACGCCTAATATATCCTGTAACACACCCCTTACATTCGTACTATTCCTAGGGCAGATCTGTAACTCTTACTAATGTTAGACCTTTTAATTGGTAGCGGTTATTCTGCGGGTGCCCTTCTCGTATTATGCGGGTGTCTAACCGTATACGGCAGCCACCCCACCCACCACCACGGCTGTGGTCTGTAACCCATGCAAAATACGCGGTATTCATCGCAAATCCAACAACTGGCAGCACAACAACGGCCCATACTGCCTCCACTGCAGCAGCCCTTCACCGGGCACTATGGGTATGGGCGTGGAGTGGAGGATCAATTGGGAGCGCCGGATCAATACGGGCCGTGCATAGTCACGTGATATAATGAAGTTTCAATTGATCCATTGCTTGTGGTTGTTGGCGATAATCGCCTTTGCCTCAAATCGTTCAAATCCGAGGTCTTTTCGATTTTACGTAACTATTGTGGGACCGCTGTGAATTCGATGGTTTGATTGGCTAGGTTAGTTGGAGTGTTGCTGTGCGCGAAATTTTGGTTGAGCTGACATAATGACCTTCTAGATACGGTTAGACACCCGCATAAAACCAGAAGGGCACCCGCAAAATAACCGCTACCTTTTAATTAGGTACATCTTGCTAAAGTCTAAGTGGTTTAATCTAACCTATAACGTAGAAAACGTACGATGGTATCCGGCCGAAGTTTATGACCCCTGTTAGGTAACTAACGCTCACCCCCCTACTACAGTACTTCATGATATCAGCTGTGGGGGGTAATATCATAGGGGTCATTAACTTGCCCCTGCCACCCTGTAAGTAGGGTCTTAATAGGAATTAAACCTACAAGGTCTATAACGCTTAGACGTAATACTGCGCTTATACTATTAAGGTATAACAGCAGTAGATGTCCTGGGCTTATAACTTTCGCAAAAACGACGCCGTAAATTACGGGCAGTAATTAACGCCTAATATGTCCTGTGACAAGACCCTAAGCTTATTTAGAGTCGTCATTGTAGAATAGATATATGCCTTCTTGGGCTAGAGTGTCTTATTCAATTGAAGGATGCCTATCAGTAATGACGTCAGAGATGACAATGTACTTAATATACTTGGGGCACTGAACCAGACACATACAAGTAAATTTAGAACCAACATACAACATCAACATCACAGAATCATTCATATTGAGTTGATTACTGCGTTAAGCAAATCAGAATAAACAAAATACCGTATCCTGAACTACCATCGGCGATCCAAGGCTATTGAAAACCATCATGTCCGACGATTGGTTTTCGTCCAAACTCGCACCGGATGGTGACGTGGACGATGGTTGTCACCCTCAAGAGGCACAGGCGATGAAAGACTACCTCCACGAGAAGATGACTGCAGCCGAAGCCGCCCAAGCCATCACCCGCCCGGTCGCCACTGCAGACAACCCCAGAGAGGACCTCGCCCGCCTCTGGGGATTCCTGATGGATTCTCTCTTGGAACTACCGCAAGAACACATCGAATCGTTGTTAGAACTGCTCAAGGCAATCGAGAACCTTGCAGAGCCTGACTTCACAACTGTGGACGAAAGCAAGCGAACCTCAGAGAAGTTGTGGAGTGGTCTCCCGGGGTTCGGTCACTTGTGGGCCGATTCATATCAATCTGGAAGCTGGAGAAGGGCTGCGGCGGCGGCTACTGGCCCGGAGCGTGACGCGCTACGAGACATCCATGTCCGGAAGGCGGAGGTTGAGGCACGCCTAGTCGCAGCTGGCGTTGGTGGCATTCCGATTGACTGGGGATACGAGGTCGTCGTGGACGCCCTGGAGAGCAGCAACGCGCTGCTTGATTTTGAGGTTCCAGCTGCGGCGAAGTGGCTTATATTCTGCGGAGGGCGATTCCGACAGGGAGCAGAGGATGGTGAGGAGAGCTGGGCATTGAAGTCGCATGTGACAACGTCGTCCACGACCCCTTCGCGGGATCTCTGCAAGGCGTTTTCGAACCAGGCGCTGAGTCTGGAACGTTGGTTATTGTGGGAAGAGCGTCTGAGGGAGTTGCAAGGGAATCTGGGAGTTGTTAGGGAAGCGGCGACAACGGCTCTTGATGCCATGAGGAAAGCAGTCCATGCGCCATTGTTAACAAGAGAGATAGTTATAAATAATAGTTGGGCACGGTGAAGAGATAATGATGACAATGATATGATTTAAACGCCTAACAGGTCTAATCTATATAGTACAAGGCGCCTGCTACTAATTTATTATTTCTACTAAGACCCTAAGTCTTCCTTACTAGGGGAGGTCTTAAGTAAAATAATATCTCTACTAAATAGTATAAATCTACTATTATAAGCCTAAAATTTAGTGTTTTTTTCTAAAGATATATTTAAAGTTATAAGTACTAGGTAATAACTATATAAAGAAGTTATTTTTTTTAGAAAAAAAAAAGAAAATAATAAGTATTTTAGGTTATAAAAGTAAGTTATTATAGCTAGTTTCTAGACAGTAAGGTTTCTACTAATATATTACAGCTAGTTTCTAGACAGTAAGGTTTCTACTAATAGTAAGCAGAGGTTAGTACCTAGTTAACAGTATTCCTCTTCTTTATTATCTTTATTAATTACCTAGTAATTAGTTAAGGCTTAGGGTTATAAGGCAGCTTATATAGCTTTTTATTAATTAAATTACTAAGGTTAAATACTAAAAGCTATTTAGAGAATATATTATAAGTTAATTACTAAAAAGCTATAGAAGTCTGTCCTTAAGTACGTCCTAGTCTATCCTATATATAAGTCCTAATTCCTTTAGTATGCCTAGGAGTAACGCCTATCTGTTAGTCCTTTACTATAAAGCGCTATTAACTAGTTAGTCCTTTACCTAAAGCGCTTATTATTTATTACTTTTTTATTATTATTATATAACTTATACTATAGTTCTTTTATTCTAGGGAGTTATCTATTTATTCCTAGTTTTCTTATTTATATAAATACTATTACTGCCTATTATCTGCCTGTTAGGTAAGGTAATATAGCCTATAGCTTATTAGGTTATAATATTAGGTCTTCCCTCTAAAGGTCTTACCTATAAGACCTATATAAGTAGGTTATAACTCCTAGGTTAAGGAGTTATTAATTATACTTTCTTATTTTATTATAATACTAACACTATATTAGGTTATATAAGGAAATTAAATTTAAAATTAAAAAAGTCTAAAGTTAAAGACTATAAGCACCTTACCTTTCTTAAGTTTATTAATAGTTACTTTATTTTAGCTAATATACTATATAGTTATTACTTTTATTTAAAAAAGCTTTATTACTTTAGTAAAGGTTCTTTTTATTATTATACTTATATAAAGGTAAAGAAGTTATATAATAGTATATTAGTAGTGTCTACTTATAAGTCTTTTTTTATAAGGAGTATATTAGTTTTTTACTAATCTTAATATAGTTTAAAAGTTAAATATATAAGATAAAAAGTAAAATAAAAAAGAAGAAGAGGCTAGTAAGATATTACAGCTAGAGGGGTTATATAGGGGATATATAAATAAGAATAAGGTTAGAGCGTAGTTTAGTAGCTAGTGTATACTACGCCTTAGTAGTAAGTACGCTATAGCTATAGTAGTTAGTACACTACGCCTTAGTAGCTAAGGCCTTAAGCCTTAGTAGTTAGTGCACCTATACCTTAGTAGCTAGTAAACCTTATAGTACTAAAGGACTTACTAAAGGGTAAGGAATAAGAACCCCTAGTTATAAGAACTATTTAGTAACTTATAAATAAAATAAATAGCTATATAATAGCTAGTAGGACTACTAGCCCCTTAAGGTAAATTCTTTTTTTTACTTTTAAATTCTTATAATAAGAGATATAGTTATATATCTAACTAATATAGTATTACTACTATAATACTATTTAAAGGTTACTTTTACTTTTTCTAAAGATAGAAGTATAATATCTTAAACCTTTTTTTCTTTACTAGACCTTAGCCTAGCTTTTCCCCCTTATTACTTTATTTTAGGCTTAGTTATATATTAGCTAATACTACCCCTAAACTTCTTTATACTTTCCCTTTATTACTAAGATAGCCTAATTTACTAGTAAAAGTAGCCCTTTAGTATTTAATACTAAAATAATAACCTTTACTTAAAACCTTACCTCTAATTAATAAAGCACCCTCTTTTTAAATAATAAAGCTAAAGACTTATAGGAATTTAACTTTATACTTTACTTTTAAGAATTAAGCCTTAAATAATTCCTTATTAATACTAACTAAACTACTTATAGTTAATACCTATAGTGCTATATTAATAGCCTGCTTATACCTATTTAGGTTACTAACTAGGCTTTATTTAGTAGTAAAAAAAAAAGTTTACTAAAAAAGTATTTAAGGCCTTATATAAAGAAAATCTAACTAATTTATATAGTTAGGTATACTACTAACTTACTTTATATTATACTTAGTAAAACTTAAAGCTTAAATTAAGCTTTATTATAAGCTATTATATTAATAATTTTAAATAACTTTATATTTATATATAAGATATCCTTATAGTCTAAAAAAAGTAATAAGATATAGTTAACACCTTAAAGTAAAAGCTTTATAAAGCCTATATTACTAATTTTACTTTAATAAATTAAATTAAGGTTTTTAAGAATTATAGCACCTTTAGTAAGACTAATAGCTTTATAAATAAGGTCCTTAAATAATAAATTACTTACTTAGAAACTTAGTTCTTATAAGAAAACTCTCTTATCTTCTTATTAGCTAGTAAGAATACTTACTATTATAAAAGTAAAGCTAAACTACTAAAGATTTTTATTTTTACTAAGATTAAAAATAGTAAAAATAAAAAAAATCTAAAGTTTAACTATTAGATATTATATATTACTTATTACCTAAAGAATTACTTTTAGTAAAGTTAGGACTATTACTTTAAGTATATTTATAGCTATATTAGTAAAGACGCTATAAACCTAGTGTTTCTTTTAATTAGTAAAGTAAACCTTACTATTACTACTACTAAGGATATTATTATAGAACTTATATTTATATATACTAGCCTTACTAAGGTAAATAAAGCTAAAAGTAAACTTAATACCCTTATAGTGTCTTCTAAGAATATTTACTAAAAGAGATCTAAATTTATTAAATACGCCTAGGTCTTTAGTCTCCTCTAGTTATAGTAAAAGTAACACTTTTATAATAAACTCCTTATTACTTTTTATAATAACCTTATTTAATAGTATATAGACGCCTAGATTAATTTTTAGTAGTAAACTAAATATACTATTAAGATTACCTATACTATAAAGCCTCTAGCTACTACTACTACTTACTAGTTTAGTAAGGCCTATAGGTCTACTACTAGTTATATTACTAACACCTTAGTATTACTTAGTACTTTAAACACTATTAAGTCTACCCTTATTAGTAAATAAACTAATAACTAAGATAAGATCCTTACTACTTTATACTAATACCTTTATAAATCTAATACTTACTTTAGATATAAAGCTACTAACTATATAGCCTATAACTACTTTTATAAGCTTAAGACCTCTATTAATAAGATTAATCTATAGTAATATATAGAGGACGTTACTAAGGCTAAAGATAAAAAGGAGCTAAAAAATTAGGTTCCCTAGTAAATTCTAACTTCTTACTAAAAACTAGTATAAAGGATAATTTAAGGTTATTTATATATTTAATTAATCTATAAAATCTTATTAAAGGTAACCCCCTAAAGATAAAGTTAACTATAGCTTTTAATAGATATAGTATTTAACTTTAAGTACTTCTTAATATAGAAGTAAATAGCTATACCTTTATAAGTAACTAAGTAACCTCCTTAATAAAAAGATTCTATAATACCCCTTACTAAACTCTACTTAAACTAATACTAGCTATAAGGTTTAATAGAAAATAATTAAATAATATTTAGTATACTTAGATAATAAACATATATATTAACTATTAAGTAATTTAATAAACCTTACTATTATAACTTAATACTAGTTATTATAATTTAATCTTTAGTTATATTTAGTTTACTTACTATAAGGTAAACCTAAATATATACTATAAGTAGCTAGTCTAGCTAACTAAGTCCTTATAATAGCCTTATCCTCTAATAATTATTAAAAAGATAAAGGACTTATATACCCCTAAGACTATTAACGTTTAGCACTAAATTAATACTAAACGTTAATAAGAGGTCTTTAAGGTTAATAACTAATAATACTAGTAAAAGATAAAAAAGTAAAGACCTTAATAAATTCTTTAATATACTTATAAAGAAGATTTAAAAAAGAACCTCTATAAGATAAGTAAGGCGCTTAATAGTTCTCTTTTACTTATATATACTACTAAATAGCCTTATTATAAGGCTAGATCTATATAGTTAGTAACGCTATAGAAGTATAACTATTTTATATTTATTAATATAGTATTTATTAAGATAAACCTAAAGAAATAAGATATTAAGCTTAGTTTTATCTCCTTTTATAAGCTAGATTAAATAATTACCTAAAAGAAAAAGGAGCTAGCTAATAACCCCTTATAAGCTAATAACTAGGCTATATATAATTTAGTTAAAACTAACTTTTTTATTTTACTTTATACTTATAAGGATATTTTTAGTAAAGTAATAAGTAACTAGCTTACCTCTTATTACTTTTATAACTATAAAATTAAGCTTATAAAAGGAGAGAAAAAAAAGCTTACTTATTACTTATTATATAAATAATCCTTAGAGGAACTAAAAGCTATAAGAGAGTACCTTTTAGAGAACTTATAAAAAGGTTAGCTTAAGCTAAAAAATACGCCTTAAGCTACTCTTATACTATTTATTTAAAGATATAATAGTAGTTTATAATTTAATATAGATTTTTAGAAACTTAATAAACTTATAAAAAAAGACTACTATTTTCTTTTATTAATTAATAAAACTTTATTATATATTAAGTAAGTAAAAATTTTTATAAAGATTAATATTTACTAAGCCTTTAATAAAATCTAGATATACCTTAACTTTAAAGATTTAATAACCTTTTATACTTACTATAGTATATATAAGTATAAGGTATTACTATTTAGCTTATATAATAGCCTAGCTACTTTTTAGTAGTATATAAATAATATCTTAATAAATTATCTTAATAACTTTTATACTACTTCCTTAAATAATATCTTAATTTTCTCTAAAGACTTCTTATAGTATTAAGAGTATATTAAAAAAATCTTTACTTAGCTTTATAAAGCTAGGCTATAAGTAGATATTAAAAAGTATAAATTTAAAGTAATTACTACTAAGTATCTTAGGTTTATTATCTTTATTAATAGTATTTATCTTAACCTTAAGAAGATTACTATAATTAAAAATTAAAAGCCTTTAATAACTATTAAGAGAGTCTAATTCTTCTTAAGGTTTTATAATTTTTACTATTAGTTTATTACTAAGTATAGTTATATAGCTTACCTCTTAACCTAACTTACTACTAAGGACTACTTATTTTTATAAACTAATAACTATAAAAAGGCTTTTACCTCCCTAAAGAAGTCTCTTACTACTACCTTAGTGCTTTATTATTTTAAGCCTAAACTTCTAACCTATATTAAGACTAATACTTTAGACTTTATATATACTAGTATAATACTTTAATAGTAAGAGGATAGTATTTAGTACTTAGTTACTTTTTACTTTAAGACTATAAGTAGTATAAAAATAAACTATACTATTTATTATAAAAAACTTTTTATTATTATTTTTATACTATAAAAATAATAAGCTAAGCTTACTAGTTACTAATAGTGTTTTAAAGTTATTACTAACTATTAGCTACTTTTATATTTTATAATAAAACACTTACTAAATAGTTATTAAGCCTAATAGTTAGAATTAATAGTAGACTTTAATTTTTAAATTAGCTATTAACTTAGAAAAAAAACGTCTTAGTAGACGCCCTCTTTAGAAAAAAAAAGATTTTACTATATAAAGAGCTTTAAAAAAAGCTAGTTATATATAAGTACTCTTACTCCTTTTAGTACTTACACTAGAAATTACTATATAGTTATAGTAGTTATTAAAGACTATTACTATAACTAAGGGAACTACCTCTAAAGTAATTATAGTAAGTATACTAATACCTAAAGATAACCTCTAAGGGTACCTACTAGTAAAATAAATCTTATAACTAAATTAAGAGGCTACTACGTCCTCCTTATTAGCTTCTTAAGATCTAGCCTAATAAAAGTAAAAATAATAAAAACTAACTAATAATAGCCTATTAACTATAGACAGGCGCCTAGTAGTACTTTTTAAAGATAACTTATATACTTATATAATCTAGAAAGCTTATAACTAAAAGTTACTTATATACTTTAAAAAGAATAAAATAAGTAAGATTATTAAAAAATAATATTACTAGCTAAAGATAACTATAGATATTAAGTAATATATATATAACTACTATATATATTACTATATATATAACCTATATAATAAGCCCTTAAGAGAACTAAGGCTATTACTTATTTTATACTACCTATAGTAATATATTACTATAGATTTTATAGCCTACCTAAAAGATAAAAAAAGATATAATAATATATAAGTTATAGTAAACTACTTAAGAAAGTAAGTAGTATTAATATATTATTATAAGACTACTATAGTAAAGGATATATCTTACTTTTTTTATAAACGCTTACTACTTTTTTTTAGTTTTCTAAAGATAATTACCTCTAACTATAGCCTTTAATTTATTTCTAAATTTTAAAATAAGCTAATAAAAATTTATAGTATTAAGATTTAACTTTTTACTACTAACTACTTATAGATAAATAGTTAAATAAAAATCTTTAACTAGTATATCCTCTAATAGCTATACTTATTAGTAAACTACTACTAAGATAACTAAAGTAAAATACTCCTTATAGTAAATTTTACTTATACTATACTTTTTAGTAAAAGCACTAGCTTATTACTATTTAAAGTTAAATTTAGCTATATACTATAACTTAGTTTTAACTAAGACTATAAAATAGTAAAGTTTAATAGTACTTAAGAAAAAATTAACTAGATTAAGACCTAAAAGATAGCTAAATATATTTATAAGTACTAAAAAATTACTTAAGGGAATATAAAAATTACTTAAAAACACTAATAATAATATATAAATAAATATTAAAAGCTAAATAATATTTAAGTAAAAGATAATATTTTTATTAATACTTCTTACTAAAAAAAAATAACCTTAATAAGCTTTAAAACCCTTAGTTAGGTCTTTAGCCTATAATTAGTATAAGCTTAAGTAATACTTAGTAAGTTTAGCTTCTTAAAGGTATTAATACTTACTTAGTATTTTATTTTAGTAAGCTCTAAAAGGCCTTAGTAGACCTACTTTTAGGCTAACACTAAGACCTCTTACTACTAACTATAGCTAGAAATAAAAAACTAAAATATAAAGTAATATACTTATTATAGTCTAAAATTAACTATAAAAAACTATAATACTATATAAATTAAGTTAGTTATAATAAAAACTTTACTTAGTATAATACTAAAAGCTTTTACTATTTACTAATAGTATTAAAAAAGTTTTATAAGAAACACCTTAATACTAATAGCCTACTTTAAAACTTATACTTATAGCTTAAAAATATAGCTATAAACACTAAGTTACTAGTATAGCCTTATAATAACACCCTAAAGAACTTAAAAAAATATTAATTAAAAGGTTTATTAAAAGCCTAAGTAGTGTCTAAGTAACTATATATATTTACTATAGGTATAATACTAGCTTACTATACTAATTAGCCTCTCCTTTTTATAGACCTACTAATACTTTTTAGGCTTTTACCTTATTTTACTAAGTTTTAGTCTAAAAAAATATTTCTTAAAAAGAAATTTATATAAAAAAATAAAAAAATTAACTTATAGCTACTAAAACCTTATCTAATTTTATATACTTTAAGAACTTAAGCCTAAATATATATTATAAATAATATAGCTCTTAAAAAGAGAGGTAATATTATAGCTAGAGAGGTTATATAAAGGATATATAAATAAAAATAAGGTTATAGTATAGTTTAGTAGCTAGTATATACTACACCTTAGTAATAAGTATACTATAGCTATAGTAGTTAGTATATTACGCCTTAGTAGCTAAGGCCCTAAGCCTTAAGTAGTTAGTATACTTATACCCTAGTAGCTAGTAAACCCTATAGCACTAAAGAACTTACTAAAGGGTAAGAAATAAGAACCCCTAGTTATAAGGACTATTAGGTAACTTATAAATAGAATAGATAGCTATATAATAGCTAGTAGGACTACTAGCCCCTTAGTATAGATTCCTTTCTTTTTTACTTTTAAATTCTTATAATAGGAAATATAGTTATATATTTAACTAGCGTAGTATTACTACTATAATAATTATAATAATTTAGCTATAAAGCGTAATATAATAATATCTAGAAATAATAAGCTACTTTTAACTATATAAATTACCTTTATAGTAAGACTACTTTATAATAATATTATATATTTATTACTAATTAGCCCTTTCTAAGAGGTAAACATATAGATTATTATTTTCTCTTGTTTTACTAAGAAATACAACCGTACAAAAGAGTACACAGGTCACCTGTTTTATTACTGCAATTAAATAGTTACACACTTATAAGGGCAATTAATATCTAACTCACCCCCTCAAGGGCTTACAAAGCTTATAGGCCTTAGACACGTTATGTTATGTGAGGTAGAAACCCTAGATTCCTAGGTAAAGACCCTCTATTATGTGTGTCGCGACCGTGCATCGAACTCAGTCAATTGAGATTGACTGGGAGCTGGGCTCATAACCACTAAGAAATGCGACCGTACAAAAGAGTACGCAGGTCACCTGTTTTGTTACTGCAATTGAATGGTTACACACTTATAAGGGCAATTGATATCTAACTGTTTTAAGTAGAGAAATCTATTTAAGAAATAACTGGCGTATTTGCGGCCAATTGCCCCACATTGATCTGGGCACGTGCGACCATTTTGCCCACTTTGACAAATTCACTGCTTGTTCCCTGAGCTTGCCGCGCACGCACCGCGCGTTCCTAATGTATTTCCGCTATATTTGACATAGGCCTACCCCTAAACATTAAGTAGTTTCTTAACCTTTGCAAGCAATGGTGAATGGTACTGGGTGAAATAGTTTATCACAAGCTGTCGATTTTGTAAAGACAACCTTGTTCGCATGTTAAGTAGATCGCCATAATGGGTTTCTACTAAGTAACTCAAGTCCTTAATATCCTGGTCGTGCTTCTTCCGCTTGTTCGAAGCTAAGCCAAAGACCTTTGATATAAAAAGGGGGCTAATCTGTATCACAGGGACTGAAAGCGCCGCACCCTTGTCTATCATGGAGGTAAAGTGGGTAATACTAGCCAGGTCTTTTACCGAGTTTTTCTGACCTGGAAATGACATTAGACCCCTTTATTCTGCTAACAAGAGACCTAAAAGACTTACCAGCTATAATCATATCGACATCATAGTATCGATCTTGGTTTTTAAAATAAACCTGCAGATGTGCATTGTCCGGCCACCAATCTGCTCCAGGGATAATGAATCGTTTATCGGCCTCGAGGAGCTTTCTTAGCTCGGGCATAGTAGTTTGAACCACAATGTCAATGTCAGGCGTAGTACGCTGAGATTCTCCGTAAAGGATCAGAGCCCAGCCACCAGATATAACCCAAGGGACGTGGTTCTTGCCAAAAAGCTCCTTAAGTGCGGTTGTGGTATCTTTAAGGCCAGCAGTACTGACGTCGGTAAGTGACGTTTTGTAAAGCCAAGATTGTTCCTCCCTTGTGAAGTGGCCGTCTGCTATAGCTCGAGTAACTGCGTAACGCTTTTTCAACGGTGGGAGTACAGTGGTCTCGGTGTAATAGCTTTCGGTATGCCGGTCAGGAACAGGCTCAGGGGTGCTATTGATGCCGAGATTCGGAACATGACTGCTGTGATGCCCAGAAGGGAAGGCAAGGGATGAAGTGGCTAATAGCCACAGCAAAAGAAACATCCGCATAGTAAACAAAGTAAGAATAGCAACGTTCCTCAACGATAGAGTTAGGATTCTGCACGCCCAAAGACAGGAATGATGTACTAATGCCACAAAAGGACCTAGTATAGAAACAAATGCTCTGTTGTCGTTAGGAATACCTAATCATGAGAGATGTCCACCACAATAAATACTTAAACTATTAAATAAGAGACTACATCGTAAATATCAGCCCTATGCGTAATATAGATCACTACGGATATGTCCGACGCATACAAAGTGAAGTTGAGTCAGTTAATGGAATTTTGTCACAGGCTGTGGATTCACATACTGGTCCAAATAGTGCGTTAATTCTTCTACTATAGTATACTATCCTGCCGCACCTCGTGCTCATAAAGATTGCCCCGCTGCTGGCCCGCTATAAAGTTAATTATAGCTTCTAAGACTGCCTGGGTAACTCCCCCACCCTATATCCGAACCACCCCCACATCCGAACCACCATCATCACCACCATCGCCACCACTATCACCACTTATTTCACCATCTCTGCCGCCCACCCATATGCAACTTTCGGCCTCGCTGGGCAATTCGGATGCCCTGGATTCATCCAGACTATCTATATTGCCGGCATCCGGACTCTGCGCCCGGATTATATCCTCTATAGTGGCAAAGGTGCTGTTAGGCGATAGGCGGACCTTTTTCCTCTTATGTAACCATATATTATCTAACTAGGCCTATAATAAGTTAACTTACCTCTCTAGAAGGGCTGCTCTAGATACCTGCTTATTATATCCCTTTTACACCTTTCTAGATAGGTAACAGATAGTATAGGTATCTAACCTATCCTTACCTAGCTAGGTTAACTAGTGTAATTAATGCTGTAGATCAGCAGATTGATAGGGGGTTAACCATAGGATAATAGATTTGGCTTTATCCCACTATTAGCTACTAGACTACTGGCTGGCCTGGCTGGCCTGGCTGGCCTGCTAGGCCTTAGTGACTAGTAGGTTAGATAGAGGGTGCCTTCTAGATACTAGCTATAACCTAGCAGCCCTCTAGCCACTCTTAATGTTAATATCTGTAATAGATACCTTGCGGGCCTTAAAATAACACTCTAGAAATGCCCTTTTGCCAGCAACAGTTAAATCTGTTACCCAGTCATCTAGATATCTAACCCTCTAGCAATAGGCCTGCTTTAATAGGCCAAAGACAGCCACATCTAGAGGCTAGAGGACAGCAGAGGTGTATAGCAGTAGAAATAACAGATAGATATAATGCTGCTAGCATTTCTATATAAAGTTAATAGTTATATAGCTATAATACCTATTAAGAACTAGTAGTCTGGCCTCCTCTAGCTAGGTAGGCCTAGTACGTAGGATAAAGACCTCCTCTAGCTATTTAAGGGCAGTATTATTAGTCGTCTAGCTATTATCTGTTACTATAAATCGCTAAGCCCTATATCTAGATAGGTTAGATAGGTTAGATGTAAACCACTAGGCCTAGAGCGACTTACCCTTATATATAAGTAAGGGGGGCAAGGAGCTCCTAGCAGCAGACACACACTTAATAATAGATACCTATGCCCAGGATCCTAGCTGCTTTTTCTAGATATATCGTGATGTTACAGAGCCTAACACTAGCCCATTAACTCCCTTGCCCTCCATAATGCCAGTCTTATCCATATTCCATCTGTTAGATAGATAGATGCCCTAGATAGCAGGGATACTACTAAGGCAATGGAAGAAATCCTAGATAACCTCAGGGGAATAGGCTACCTATCGCCAGGCATTAATTGCTCTAGATCAGAGGGTTCTAATAGATGGATTTCGCCACATGAATCAGGCCATCCATTTCCTCCCTATGGGAGGATGCCCATCACCCATCATACGCTCTGCCAGGCCCTTCACTTGTTAATGGGTGATCTGCCTGCCAAGGGAAGCTTAGAGGGATATATAGGCAGCCAGATTATCCTCCTAGGCCTAGGATAAGTGCTGCCTATCTTTAAAGGCAGCATTCCTGCTTTGCCTGCCGAAGTATCAATGCCAAAGTGTTGCATATGGTATACCCTATCTGTGAGCAGTAGCCCGGAGGCTATACTGCCCAGACTGCACATCTAGGAGGGCCCATTAGAGCTCATCTTCGGAATATTGCTTCATAATAGGTTAAAGAAGGTATCCTGAAAAAATGGCGTTATTTGGCGATAAATGGCAATTGTTGTGATAGTTTGAAAAAGGTAGTGGTGTTGATGAAGGAGGGGAAATGCGGGAATTTCGGGTGGTTCGGATGCGGGGGTGGTTCGGATATAGGGTGGGGGAGTTAGCGGTTACCAGGCAGACACGCTAAGGGTCAAAACTAGGGCAACACTTAAGTCATTAAAGTACCTCTTGAAGTCTCTTGCTTAGCGTGCACAGACCCTAGCACAGACTAACTTACCCTTTTACTAAGGAAAAAAAAAGAGAAATCTACCCCTAGAGACGCTACTTATTAAAATAGTAGCCTAAAGAGTATCTATATATACAGGGTGACAGGGGTAAGTAAAATACCCCTATGATGTTACCCTCTATAACTAACATCATGATAGAGGGGGAATATTCACTAACAGTAAAGTTCTACAGTAGGGGGGTAGACGTTAGTTACCTAACTGGGGTATTTAACTTTAGCCTAGTACTATGATACTATTAGAAAAGCTTTTTTTTAAACTTAGAGTTAAGGATTTAAAGTTAGTAGTGTAGAGATAGACAGGAGGTAGGTTAGTTACTTAGAGACACCTAGTCTAAGATGCTAAATTTGATCTACAGTGTCTGCCTGTTAACTGCTACTACTGCCTGTCTTCTCTCGGAGCCGCTAGATAGTCTTTGCTACTACGGCTAGAGAGCAGCCGAAGGCAGCGGCAGCCTCGCGTTGTGATTTGCCGGCTAGTAGGTAAGCCACAATAGCTACCTGTTGATATGGAGTAAGCTCATGACCAGACCTTTGATTTCCTGATATAATAGAGTTAAGTAACTGTAAATCGCCTATTATCTCCTGAAGTTATAGGAGTTGCAAGAATGAGGGGTGGATACAGGTAACGCGTCGCGACGCGATAATGTGGGGTGTACTCACGAACTTTTGAACTCCCACTGTATAGGTCAATGTCAGTCCACGTGACAAACAGGAATGTCCTGCATCTCCTAACTACCTAGCTATCTACTAGAATCCATCCTGTAACAGAATAACTCCCTCACATTCAGATATTAATTATAGTCTTATAGGTAAGTCAAATACTTTCTGATAGGTTACTTACCTACACAACTATACATACTATAACTAAGCTAGACTGGCTAAAGGAAGGAAGTGTAGATTAAAGTGACCTGGTAGGGAGGATTTTATTTTAGTAAGCAACGATAGTTAATGCCTATATACAGCACCGTTAAAAGGTGGATTAGGATAGCTGCTAGCGATAGTGGTTCAATCGGTTACCGCCGTGCAGCCCTATTGCTGGTCCGAGCGTGCAGCCTGAGTTTTTGTTTACTGCGGAGTATCCGTGCCAAGTTGTGATTGCGCAGTCGGCTCGGCAATATCCGAGTCTTGATGCACTCCTACATTGTGTAGAAGTAGAGAGTTGACTCGTGTGTGTGTCAATGCCTGTGCCTTAAATAAGTAGCAACTTCTTCCAGAACAGTGATAGGTAGACCAAGTCAGTACCAGCCAGACCAGATTGTTTCTTCTTTATCTCTATAATCTTCTATAGTTTTAGAAGGGAAAGAAACAGCATACATTATACATCATGAAGCCCACCCACTTTCTTTGCATTCCACTCGTTACAACGATCTCACAGCCTCAACTCACCAAGAGCTTGGATCACTTTAAAGCAGACATCACAAGTCCTCGCACCTATGGCATCCCCGCAGCCGCAGTGCGTCCCCTCAGCACTATACATCTTACCTTGGGAGTGATGAGCTTCCCCGAAGGTCGAGGTCTCGACAAGGCAGTCGAAGTTCTTGATAGCATCAAGCCGCTTCTCCCCACAAGCCCACCGAGAGTATCACTACAAGGCCTAGGAACCTTTCCGGGCACCAATACACGCCACGCCGACATTCTCTTTGCACACCCAACTTGCCCTGGTTACAATTTTGATGGTCTCTGCCACCAAATAAGGGCCAAGTTTGAAAATGCCGGTCTCATTGATAAGAATGGGTTCGGCCTATCGCTCCACGCTACTATTATTAATGCTCGAAAAACTCCTAACAAGGGCATTGACGCGACAAAGATTATTCAGCAATATCGGGATTATGTATGGATGAATCCTATTCCTGTCGAGAAGATTGGAATTTGCCGCATGGGCGCAGAGAAGAAAGGTCCATATGATGAAGAGTATCCAATTGTGGCTTCAATTAACTTTTAATAATTTACTTAATTAAATTGGCTTAATATCAAGTCTTTGCATAACGAGCCATCCGCATTTTCTCATTGCTTGCAACCACCTGGCGGTTACCTAATGGGACATGTGCATACATGTTGCACTGGAACACGTCAGGCTTATTAGGAGAATTATGGCAAAGTGGGCGAAATGGCCGCGTGCGCCCGGGCGCAAGGTGGGGCAACTGGCCGCAAATGCGCCAGTTATTTCTTAGATGGATTTTGTCAAATGTGGCGAAAGTACGGATACACGTGAATTAACCAGCGAATGTACGGTTGCCCTACGGCGAATCGTCAGGGGATAGGCGGTGAAATAACCCCACTTTACGGGTGATCTAACCAATCATATCAGTAACTATCTAGGTAGGTAGGTAAGCCACCAAGTGTCCTGTGTGGTAATACTGCCCGCCTCTTCTAATCGCCGGGGGCCGCGCCTGGCCATTTCTGTGACTGAGTAATCAGGTACGTACCTTACCTACCTAGATCCCTGATATTACAAGCCACTAGGGACCTCCCTTACGGGCCACTCATTCCATCCCATTTATACTCTGTACTCTGCTGCATTTGCAAAATTTTGTCCTCGTCACTTACCTACATATCTACCCAAGCAGCTGCACTGCATGCAATACTACCAAGTGGCCACTACACTAGTTCAAGAGACAAGCGCCAACGCCACTAATACGCCGTTGCACCCATCCTTTTCATTTTCGAGCAACTGCACCGTGTATAGGGCTTTTTGTTGCAACGTTATCACACTCTGAGCCGAGCTGTACTTGACATCGCCTCAGGCCCTCTTGGCGTCTTCCTCCCTTATCCAATCAGTAACACATGACTTCCACAATGGTCCAATTCTGAGGAACATCCATTCACCTTTAAATCGTGGCCAGGTTCGCTTCGATTGTCGGAAATCCGACGTCTTTCCTCACCCACCCGCGTTGTTTGCGGCGGCAGGATACCATTGGCTCGCCTCTGTAGAGTGTTGATTCCAAATCCGCTGTGGCAATCCGGACACCTTATGGTCTGTAACAGGAAATGATATTCCCTCAACAGACAGATCCTGTGTCCCCACCCAGCATTCTAACCTACAGTATCCGTACCAGGTCAATGGTATCTTCACAGCAATGAGGATGATCAATCAAAGCCACAATGGAGTGGTGGTTGAGGCCTAGGGTCTATGGTTTGTATGTAGATCGAGTAGACAGACACAACCCTTGAGGGGGGGAGGTTGTTATTCAGCAGCTCATTCCTACACTATTACGCAATCACCACAACTGCAGGACATAGCCTAATAGGTCATGGTAATGTCATGTGAAAATCTAGCCTGATCACTGCATTGATAGTAGTCATATATGCTGACGGTGAAATGTCGAAGTCATAGGAGACATTGGGCCGGTGATTGGTAAAGAACAAATGTCCCTCATTTCTCAAAAAAAAAAAAAGGGAGGTTATGTCGTATCATACTCACTTAACCTATGCACCAGACAACCTTTCTAGAAGATTACTAACCGTACATAGCCATTTATCTCCTCATCAGAGTGTCTCAGAGCACAGGTTCCAACCTACAGGCTGCAGCAGTCCAAGCACGCGGGTCCTGCTATCAAAAGCCAGCCGTATTACCCGAAAGTCCTACCGTAATAACGGCCAAGCCACACCGCACGCATGACCATGTAGTTCAAAGAGACGACCGGGGTGCTTGGGGTGACACTTGCCCTCCCCTTCCGCGGCTGCCTGATCCTGATCCGCCTCACTTGAGCCGCGCAGCCCTATGACATGCATGCGCGCACCTCGTGTCTCTGCTGACACCAACAATGACGAGGCCCACCATCCAGTCCCCGAGAGGGGACCGACACACGCACACAGCCTGCGTGTGATGTAACCCAGAAGTGCATCATGCTTGTGCGACGCTCCCTCGCCGAGCTTACATGCTGGGTCCACAACGGGAGATGCTGGGGTCCGTTTGACACTTATCGATTCGCAGTCACTACCGGGCGGCCGCCGGGGCTCCGACCTTCCAGCCCGCATCTGTACCCTGTCTGCCAACTGCAAAGGGCACGAGTCGCGTCACGTCACATCACATCAAAGGATTAGGAACGCTATGTATCCGAGTTGTAAAGCCTGCCCTGCCTCCACGGACCACATGTTCCTCCAAACGGCCCTACAGCGGCGCCGCCGCCACCGCAACGAATGGCGGCGGGGAGCAGCCCACAAGAAGCACAAGAAGAATCCTCCAGAAGTCTTGGAACTCACATCGGCTCCCCGCAGCCAACTCGGCATCGAGGACACAGCTGCAGCCCTACACGGTTTTGACCCTGGCACTCAGTGTTTTGCTCTCTCGCTTCTCGCAGGGCCGCCCCTTCCGGCTGCTTCCAGCAAGTGGACGTCATCGCATCGTACAACGCGTAATAGGGTTGCAGTGCTCGGGCAGAAACTGGTCCGGACGGAGGACAGTTCCACCGCTTGAACCGCCGAGGTCTAGTCGGGAACCGGGGGCTGAGGGCTTAAGCGCTCGCTGCTTACGTGACCACCATCATGGTTTCCTATTTCCTATCGCTCGGCGGCGGGGCGGGGATATGACCGACTGGTTGCTTACATCCCTATTCCGGCATTGTTGGATTACGCAGCTCTTGGACCGTACACACAAATGCGCCATCCCACAATCGACACTCGAGCACGTTCACAAACGGCCTTGGACTCGTGTATTCGCTCTTTTCAGGGCTCAGTCATCCCTAATATATCTCGTTCCAAGCGGGGGGCATTCGTGCTCTCCCTAGCGGTGCCGCCCCAGATTCTACCGTGCTTTTGCTTAATACATGCCTCTGGGTGCGCATCTGAAAGAAACCAATGTGAGGAAGGTTTCACAGCTCGTCTCTGACGTGGCCGTTGGCAGCCTTGCTGGGATCTTCCATGGCCATGAGCTTGACCACCAAGCTCGTCCAACCCGTGAAGTGCTGCGTGCGCTGACCCTCGCCAGTCTCAGGGTTGTACTGCTCCCACGCGAAGCCCGTCTTTTCCCAACTGTTGTAGACGGTGTCGACGAGGTTCTTGCGGAGACGGGTGAAGAGGTCCGCGGCTTTGGCTTTGTAGGGGCCGTCCTGGGACGCGACGTTCTAATTTCGGTCAGAAACCAGTCGTTCCAGAAGGTGTGGAGGGAAAGACTTACCTTCAGCTGGGAGACGGCCATGTAGTTGATGGGCATCCACACGGGACTGCGCCAGTAGTTCTCGGCCGTTCCGTAAAACTCATCCTGCTTGCTCAGACTCCTCAGGCCGTGAGGGCTGAAGAGGTGCTCCTCGTCGCCGAGCAAGTCGAGAAGCTTGCCCAGCTTCGGATCGTCAGCATCGAGAAGGCCGACAAGGAAGGGGAAGAGAGAAATATAGCCCTTGTGGCAGACAAGGGAATTCTCCTCGTAAGCGTCAATAGTAGCGTCGCAGTAGCAGCCATCCTTCTCAGACCAGTGGAGGTCGTTGAGGTTACGGCGGATAGCGTTCAAAGTCGTCTTGAACTCGTCGACTTCCTCCCTCATACCGAGGGCATCGGCGATGTTCATGAGGGACTTGGTCATCAGGCCGACCCAGGACATGAGATCGACGTGGAGTTCGCCGGGGTGAGGAGGCTGAGGGCGGGGGTAGTCATCGAGGCCGCTGGTGAGGACGTGGGTCTCGGTACGGCCGCGCCATCTGTAGCCCTCCTTGTTGGAGAACGCCTCACGATCGTACGTTTTCAGATCTCCCTTCTGGGTCTTGCGGAACCAGTCGTACTGTGTGCGGACAAAGGGGTAAAGCTTCCGGAGGAAGTCCTCTCCAAGCTCGACATTGTCCAGATGAGCAGTCTGGAGGGACTCCGTGGGACCAAGGCGCTCCTTCTCGGCAGGCAGGCTGCCGTTGGTCTTTCGGAGGCGCTCCATGAAGCCCTCGATAATGAGGAACAACGTGGGAGGGTTAGCGTAGTGCGGATATTGCACCTGGAACTCCTCCGGAACCTTGCTGCGAGCCTCCGGACCGAGAATCTGCTCACGCGGAATCCAGCCATCGTCGTCCATGGTTTTGAACCAGCTTTTGACAATCTCCAGGGTCAGGTCGATGTCCCAGTCGGCAATAGGGATGAGGTGGTAACCCTCATCCCAGAGGAACCCTCTAGGGAAGAAAGGTCGGGAGGGCACAGCCGTAAAGAGCTCATAGGGGCCCTCCAGCTCTTGCTGCTTGCGGGCACGCGCAGCTGCAGTCTCCTCCCAGAATCCTTCGTTCTCCTCGTCGTATTCGGGGGCGTACGAACGGTCAATCAGCTGTGAGCCATGGAAGTAGCCAATGCCACCAAGCAGGTTTGAGAACATGCTCTTGGCGAACTTCCTGTACTTATCGGCATTGTACGGGGCCTTCAGACTGAAGACGGAGGAAAAGCGCTCGCCGAAGGACTCGGTGACGGACCTGATCTCGCGTGTTACATCAGCGCTGGTGAGCTCGGGGCCGGCGGAAGCAGACGAGAAGATGACGTCGAACTCGAAGGCTCCCTCGAACATCTTCTGAACCACGTGAACATTGCCTTCACCGGGCTTGTTGTCGATCTGGTAGATGAGGTACGCTGGGGGTGGTTCCTTCATCTCGTAGTTCTCCTGGACATGCTTGACGCTTTCCTGGATGAGGTTGAAGACCAAACCCTTGGCCTGCCATTGAACCTCCTCGGAGACGGTAAGAGATCGCACCATCGTTTGGTCGGGGTGTTTCTTGTCCGCCAAGGGGTGGGTGCTATGAGGATGCTTGCCCTCGCCCTGCGTGATGACCAGCTTGTACCTACCAAGCTCGGGGGAAGCACCCTCGAACGCAACGTCGCCATCATAGCCTGCGGAGTCGTTCTCGCCAGCGAATTTTATCTCTCCTTCGGTGCCCTCCTGGGCGATGTAGTAATGGATCATGGTCTTTAGGTCAGCCGGGGCACCCTCTCTCGGAACACCTCGAATTCTTGCTGCCCAGCTACCACCGTTGGCTCCACCGGGAACCTTGATAAATGAGGTGGTGATGTCAATCTGGTTGCCTTCGTCGTGAATCGATTGGACGCCTCCCTTTCGGGCATCATACTCGTCCCATCCGTACCCGTGGAGACCTTCGTGCTGTTCACAAGTGTAACGGAAACCTGTCAGGCTGTTAGTTTACGATTATCGGCGGTGATGTATGCGCCTGACTCACCCTGTTGAACATCCTGATAGTTATCAACTCTGGACCACATCAACCCGGTCCATAAGCTTTTGGGAGTTCTCGATCGAACGCCAAAATAGAGGTTGGACTTATAAGGGCCCCAGAACAAGCTCTCGTTGTTGAGGCGACCGACCTCAGAGGTCAGAATAGAAGCCGAGCCAGGGCCATCGTCGGCTGCATGGACCAGGTGTGAGCCGAAGATATTGAATAGGGAAAGTGTGATGAAGACGGCCAACTGCGTTGTACGAGCCATCTTTGCGGTGTGTGAGTGATCATTCAGTGCTCATCGGAGCTCTCAGGTAGTAATTATACACTCACACCACAGCCGTTGAAAAAGGTCAAGCTGCGTGTATGTGTGCGTCTGTGGTTAGGACAGTAAGTGAGTGAGTGAAGTGCGATGAGAGAGAGGTATCGAGGTACCTACTACCTTTGGATGGAGTGAACACGTTGGAAGGCGAGTGGGAGCTGGGCGAGCTCAATGGAGGCTGAAGTGTGGCTTTGACAGCTTGCTCGACATCGGCCCGCCAGTCCAGCCAATCAGTCCCCCAGAGAATGCTAAGCTTGGACCAGTTGACGTGTGGTGTCGGCTGTTTTAATGACAACCCCGTTATCGGTAGCTGCTACGATACCACCACTAACCCCCCTGGTCGCACACACCGTCACTTGCTGTCAGTGGGCTGGCTGCATGCCAATCAATCATATTCTGTCCACTGCCACGAACCTCTACTCCTTTCCACTATTTGCTGCATGAGATAACTTCCCTGGTCTACAGCCAACTTTATGCTCTATTCTGAAAGCGCGCGAGGCCCAAAACCCACGAGAACACCTTGGCGACGCTCTCGAAGCCACCTGCCAAGCTTCGCATACCCTTTGCTTCGGCGCCGAACGCACGAGACCATCGCGATATGGCCACATAACTCGCATCACAACCCATTAAGTTGAAGATGCTGCATACGTGCTAGAATGAGCTTGGACTCGCTGTTGCCCATCGCTCCCGCGAGGGTGAAGGCATTGATTGTGCCCCTTGGCCAAATCAGAAGTGATCGTTTCTCGTCCTTCGTTGAGCGCCTACGGCCCGAACATGTCGTCTCCTTGCGGGATGTCACCCCTGACGGGCGGCCCAACAGAAGTATGGCTCTCCGTTCAAATTCGTGAGGAGAGACCTGTTGTGCTGACTAGTGACGCACAGATATGTTTTCGCCCTTGGCCTTCCCCGATGGCGCTGTATTCTACGAACTAATAACCCATGTACCCCCACCATCTCATCTTGCCCTCTCGCCGTTCGACTTCTATCGCGAGCCCCTCGCAGTCATCGCGATCGCAGATGGCGACGAACTGAACCGCGTCGCCTTCGACAAACGCCAATCTGGCAATGCGCCTACCATTGCCGAAAAAAATATTAGAACATTGGATCAGGGGTTGGAAGACTTGAGAGACCGCTTCGACAAGGCCCTCGTCCACCAGGTCTTGATCTTCGACCATGCACCTTCCAAGGAAAACCCGGTTGCTTTGCCCGAGGGGCTTATTGCTATTCCACCGCCAGAAGAGTGCAAGCGGACGACCTTGAAGACGATAATGTGTGACATTACGTCGCAGCTCCTGGCTGAGATGACAACCTTGGCCAAGTCATTCGAGGCAATGTCCTTCATCGAGTCTCCTGGACAATCCCACTCGACAAGGCAGGCCAATGGCACCTCATGGGGCATGGATGATTCGGATCCAGTAAACAAGAGGAAGTCCCAGTTCACGCCAGGCTCTCAAAGATCAAGCTCAACCAGCGGTTTACCAGACCGCCTCATGCACCGCATGTCGATGCCGGTTGCGCCAATGAAGAACAACTCCATCATGGCATCAGACGGCCCGACACCAGCTCGACCTTCAACTCCCGTGAGAAGCGGGCTTTCGAACCCGCCGACCACGTTTGACGATTTGACTGCTGGCACCAACATCGGCTCTTCGATCCCAGACCAGAACTCGCGGTCGGGTGCCGGAGAGCACTTTAGGTCGGAAAGCTCAGATCGAGTTTCAGTGCAGGGATTTGGTTCCGGTGGCCTCAACGACCGCTGGAGGGCCAAAGGAAAGGGCAGAGTGACAGTTCTGATGGGCTCCCTGTACCTGCAAGCTGGACGATGGCCGGACGCTCTGAAAGAGCTGATGGAAGGCGCAACCGTCGCTCGGTCAATCAATGATCACATTTGGCACGGCAAGGCACTGGAATTGGTCACCATTACTCTATTGCTTCTCGGATGGGTTAAAGTCGAGTTTCAAGTCCCGTCGATATGTCTGCCTCCACAGGATAAAACTACGACTGCGATTTACGCTGCGCTGGAAGCAACAGCAACCGATCCGAGTCAGCCCAAGTACATCCGGAACCTTCAAATAATCCTTCCAGATCTTCTGGAGCGGATCGTTGGACTATACTCGAGAATATCTGCCGAGCATTTGCCACCCTTGCCCCTGGCTGAAACTACGATTCGGTTCTGTAAGATTTTGTCCGCATTGCATCTTGCCGACGGCAAGCTGGGAGAAAGGTCCTATGACATGATCATTTATGGGAAGCTTCCTTTGGCCCCCTTGACCACTTCACCTCGGTTGATTATCTCACCCAGCCGACAGCAAATTGTCACCTTCCTCTTCCGCGCATTTCCATCTTCGTCGTCAGAGCTTCTCACCATTGCCGACCGAGTTTCGATCTTGGCAGGTATTGCATCTGTTCTTGGACCTCTAGGCTATCATCGCAAGAAGGCCATGGTCACCAGAGAGCTTGTATCAGTTCTCACCAACGGATTGGTCGAGGCCCGCACTAGGGGTGCTGCAGACATGGGCATACATCCTGCTGCAGGTCTCGTAGCCCTTAACGCCGCGAATGGACACAGCAGCAGTGCCGTAGCGCTTGAGCTTGGGGAGGGCGATGTGGAGCAGGGGATCGAGGCATTTTTGGCTCTGCTGTGCAAATCGTACGGCATTGTGGGCTTTGATATGAAGAGGAAGCCGTCAGATGACACTATGTCTACTGAAGACTCAGACGCTGCTGTCATCGACAGAATTCGGGGGCAGGCGGCTGCGAGGTTCTTCGGATTCACCAGCGTCAAACTGAACATCTTGAGAGCATGCATCAACTTTTCTGAAGCATTGCCCGACTTCAATGGCGTGCTGAAGTTCTCAAGTGATTTGCTCCGTACAGCTGGATCCGGAGTTGCTCCTGGACCTCGCAAGGAGGATGCATCGCCAGTAATTACTCGCGACGAGCAGATCCGTTTGGTCACAAACATAACAAAGACGTCGAACCTGGCAAAAAGACTAGGTCTGAACCATTTGGCTGCCGAGTACTGGGATGAGTTCTTTGTCCGTGGTGTCACTTTGGAGCCACTGCCGATCACCAGAATCCCGGTCCCCCACGCAAAAAGCACACTTCCTGGAGCAGTAACGGCAAGAACCTCTCAAGATGTCAACCCGTTCATTTACAACCCATTTCTGAAGCAACCCAACAAAGCAGCCGCCGATCACATACTCGTAGCAAACGAATCTGCAACTTTCAAGGTCACTCTGCAAAACCCATACGACGTCGAGATTGACGTTGAAAGCCTTCGGTTAGACGCCAGCGGGGCAGACTTTGAGTCGAATTCTGAGAGCACCATCATCGGACCATATCGAACCCAAATCCTCAAGGTCACCGGAACGCCAAAAGGGCCTGGTGCCTTGAAGGTAACGGGCGCGATCATCCGGGTTCGCGGCTGCCGAGAGAGACGGTTCCCCATCTTCAAGGAGCCATGGACACCAGAAGCGGATGTAAAGACCAAAGCTACTGGACTACCAGCTCTGGAGAGTACTATCTCCTCTGATGTCCGTATCGGTAGGCCTCTGAAGGCGGAGCAGCTGGGTTTGAACGTTATTGCTCAGCAACCTATCGTCATCTTCAAGTCAACGACGCTCCCACAAGCTTCCGTAATGGTGCTTGAGGGAGAAAGACAGGTGTTCTCTGTAACGCTGCAGAATCTCTCCAAGACAACACCCGTGGACTTTATGCTTTTCTCTTTCCAGGACTCCACACAAGGGCCGTTACAAGCAGGTATCAACAACAGAGATGCCACGCCGGCCGAGCTGTATGAGTACGAATATATCCTTATGAAGCGGCAAGGTCTCCGAAGGCTGAATAAGAAGGAACCCGAGAAGAGATACATCGCCCCGGGGGGTACTGCCACGTTTGATTTCGAGATCCTCGGTAAACCCGGGTTGACGAATGCTTCCATCCAGATCGATTATGCACATCTGGGTGTACCCCCTGAAGAGGTGACTGAGCAATTTCATACCCGGCAAGTTTCACTAGAGTTGACAGTCACTGTCAATGCCAGCGTTGAGCTGGCCCGGTTGGACGTTCTGCCTCTCAGTGGCCCTGTTCCTCGGTCGTTGCTTGGCCTCACAAAACTCGAGTCAAAAGCCGATCTAGCCACACTGGCAGAAGAATATTGTCTGCTATCCATGGATCTTCGCAATGCCTGGCCCAACAACATGGAGGTGCAGCTGGATGGCGAAGATGGCGTTGTGATTGAGGAACACATCCTTCCGGGCAACATGAGCCGCGTCATTGTTCCTCTGCGACGTATCTACCTCGAAGACCCTCACGATTCAATTCCGGCCCTCAATCCATCAAGACAGCGTCAATTTGTCGTAAGCAGCAGCAAAATCACCCCAGACATGGAACGCTCGAATCGGGAAGCATTCTGGTACAGGGAAAAGATACTGGATGCTCTTACAGCTAGGTGGAAGACAGTGTCCGGTCCGAAGCGGAGTGGTTACGTTGATCTGCGAAGTATCAGACTTTCCCCCCGTATGATGGATGCCGTCAGGATTGACGACATCGGCATCAACCTAACAGTCGAAGATCCAAGCAAGAGCACGGGTGGAGCACCCACGGAGTCTGTCTTGGTTGACACTTTTTTCAAAATCAAGGTCGGCATCAAGAATCGGTCAGCACATCCAATCTATCCGTTATTGCGACTGATGCCAGCTCTATGCCACCGGCCCTTGAACGTGGCCTTGGACTTCACGCGGAAATTCGCTTGGAACGGCACTTTACAGCAAGCTCTTCCCCTCTTGTCCGCCAAGTCTAGCACTGAGGTGGAGATCCAGGTAATGGCGCTCTGTCGTGGTGAGTTTGAGATAGGAGCATCGATCGAGGAATACCAAATATGGGAAGAGCCCAAGACGGAGAAGGACAAGGAGGAAACGAAGGAGGGCCGGCAACGATCGGACACTCAGACGATGCTGAATGCAATCATCGGCGCAAAGGAGAGGCGCATCTGGCATTCAAGACAGCCCTGCATCATCAAGGTGATGGACCAGGAGTAGCAGCGTTGGCTAGCTATCTTGTACATGAAGAATCGGATTGTGGACGTAAGAGAAACGAATCATACTAGAGGCTTGGAGTTGGCCATGGCAGCGACCTTTTATGTTACAATAGATAATCAAGTTCTCCCTAGAACGAGAGGTTCAGCGTGATGGGTTCAGAGTCTGAAGCCACAGGAATTAATTAAGCCCAATCAACCGAGCAATTGTGCTAAGCATATCCCTGGCAACAGCGCACCAGCAAGTCATGCGTGGGTCTGACCGCCTTCTAGTTTCTGCCTCCAGTCGCCACCGAAATTTCTTTGACAAACGGGCTCCCGGTGCTAGCCGACAGCGGGACATTTTCCGTCACAGACGCCCGTGACCCCCGTCTAAGCTTTTGGTCAGAGACCGCCGTCTAAGCTTTGGTCAAACGATTTTCCTGTTCGGCGAGCGTTGCGTTGAGAGGCTTCTTTTGTCGATTGCTATCCTGAAGAAGACAGCGGAAGCGTGTTTCCCGTTGAAAGGATGATGCGACCTCAGATTCTGTTTCTCGATGCATACGACTCCTTTACCAACAATATTGTCTCCCTTCTCACAACTTTGCTTGATGCCGATGTCCACGTTTTACCGATTGACACGCCCTTGCTAGACCAAAAATCGCCGACGTTCTCCGATGATTTTCACCGGGAGCTGTCTCGATACCATGTGGTTGTTTGCGGACCCGGGCCTGGCTCCGCTGAGAACGAGAGGGATGTCGGGCTCATGAGGTGTGTCTGGAAGCTGGGGGGTGAGAATCTACTACCTGTTCTGGGCATCTGCCTCGGGTTCCAGAGTCTTGTTCTCAGCTCCGGCGGCAAGGTCAGGAGGCTGCAACGTGGGCTGCACGGAATGGTCCGCCAGATTCAGCACAAGAAGCCTCGGTCGACTTGCGCCGAGGACGTCTTTGCCGGTGTTTCCGAATTTAAGGCAACTCTCTACCACAGCCTCTGTGCCGACATTGGACAGGATTTCATCTCAGATGCCGAATGGGCGGACAGGCGATGGCACGCGCAGGACATGGCTCCTGAGTTGCTGCCCCTGGCCTGGGTTGACGAGGAGAGGGACAATGGCCGCGAGAGGATTCTCATGGCGGTGAAGCACCGGGACAAGCCGTTCTGGGGTCTTCAATATCATCCCGAATCCGTCTGCACGCAAGCCTCAGGCCACGCCGTCATCCGCAACTGGCTCCGCGAAGCCATGGCTTGGAATCAAGGGGCGAACAGGACGATCGTAAGCGGAGAGCGGTTCTTGGCAAGAAATGCCGTGAAACCTAGCCTCCTTTCCGAGATCCGGAACGCAGCACAGGGCGGCCACGCACCCGTGCTGGCGTGGACGGAGATGCCGACGTCTTTGGCGACCGTGGGACTCGAATGCGACTACGTCTATAAGACAATCAATATTCCCGCGAACGTTAAGGTGCCGGATGTCGTGGAAATCCTGAAGAGCGGCAGAACAGAGCATATCATTCTGGACTCGTCTAACTCAAGCAATATGGCTGTCGGCGCCGCGGACGTGCGAGGAAGGTTCAGCATCGTTGCGCTGGATGTGGAAGAGTCCTTGCGTATCGAGCATCACGTCGGAGACGACTTCGCCACGGCACGAATCCCTTCGATTCAGGGGATGCCCGTTGACCTAGTTGAAACTATTGCATTCGGTCCGCATGAGAATATCTGGCATCTGCTCTCCAGCTTCATCGAAAAGCGACGCATCGCAGCGACGGGTGATCTAGACACACCGTTCCGAGGTGGTTTTATGGGCTATCTCACTTATGAGATGGGGCTGAAAGGAATCGATGTGCCGGTTAAGGGTGACCGAGGACACCTGCGGCCGGACCTTTGTCTCGCCTGGGTCACGAAGAGCATCGTTGTAGATCACGTCAAGGGGCTGTTGCACGTCCAGCACCTGCAGAAGCGGAAGCTCAACGCCGACTTCTGGCTCGACTCTGTTGTAGCCTCATTGCAGACGTCCCATCTCTGGCAGTCGGGCAAAGCTGCCGTCAACGGCTCGGACTCTTCAACGGTGGCAACCCGCCCCGTGATCCGGGTACCTGATGCCGACGACTACGAGGCTAAAGTCTCTCGCTGCCAAGACTTCATCGCCGCCGGCGAGTCGTACGAGCTCTGCTTGACAGACCAGACGACCATCACCCTGCCAGGGCGCCCGGTAATGGAACATCGGCAGGTCAACGGCCACACGCCCTCCAAATCAAACTACGTCGCGCCCTGGAAGCTCTACAAGACCCTCCGAGCCCGCCAGCCAGCCCCCTTTGGCTCCTTCATACACCTCGGCGGCGCGACGCTGATCAGCAGCTCGCCCGAGAGGTTCCTGGAATACGACGCCGGCGGCTTTTGCTCGATGCGACCTATGAAGGGCACCGTCCGCAAGTCCAACGACGTCGCGACGCTGGCCCAAGCGGAGCAGATCCTGCACGTGCCCAAGGAGGAGGCAGAAAACCTTATGATCGTGGACTTGGTTAGACACGACCTGCACGGCGTGTGTGGGTCGGGGAACGTCGAGGTGCCACACCTGATGAAGGTGGAGGAGTACGCGACGGTGTTCCAGATGATTACCATTGTCAATGGGCAGTTGCCGGACCACCGGTCCGCGGCAGATCAGCACACGGGGCTGGACCTGCTCGCGGCCAGTCTCCCGCCACGGAGCATGACAGGGGCGCCGAAGAAACGGAGCTGCGAGCTTTTGCAGGACATTGAGGCTCATAGGGAGCGGAGCCTGTACTCAGGCGTGGTCGGGTACATGGACGTGACCGGAAAAGGGGACTGGAGCGTGACGATCCGGACGATGTTCAGGTGGGACGACGAGGTCGCGCCGCCTCTGGACGGCGAGACGGAGCCGCGTGAGGTTTGGCACGTTGGGGCCGGCGGTGCCGTGACGATTCTGAGCACGCCCGAAGGAGAGAGGGAGGAAATGTTCACCAAATTGGCGGGACCCTTGGGGGTCTTTGCGGAAGCATGAGCGGGACGATCTGAATGATGGCATGGGGCGGTTGGCATCTCTTAGAATTTTGATTTCTGGGCGTTAGACGTGTGGCTATAGGCTAAATGTTGGGAGGGTGTTTGGTTGATACCTCAACGTATCTGGGATATTAGACTCTGGACCTTCACGGGTATTAGACTCAACTTTAGACGGCCCGGATTATCCACAAGAAGGACGATGGATGCGTTCGACAGGAGTTGACACTGCTGTTAGAATTAAATAGTTCTTTTGGCACTACAAAGCGAGAAAGACAAAAAAAGGAAAACGCCCGCCTCACGGGATGATGCTGGATATACAGATGAAGACAGAGCAAAGTCAAGCGCGACCCATCCAAGTCCCTCCTCCCATACCGGAATCCCAGATCCGAGAGCGCCTTCGTTATTCCGACACCGTGTCGTACTGTACAGGCTTGTCACCAGTCTGAGTTCGATGCGTGGTCTCTCCCCTCTCTACCGCTGTTCCTTTTCTGCTCATACGGATCAATGTGTGCTAGGCCGTCGCGACTCCCCCTCTCAGTCAGAATTCCTGCTCCTCCTGAAAGAACATGCCGAAGCTGATGATGGTTCCGTAAATGAGAAGACCGCCAATTATTGACATGACCATGGCCTCGACCTGAATAAGATTGGAGTGGGCTAGGACGACGGGAAGGGCTGTTGCCAAGCACGGTTAGCAACCCAAATCATCGACAAAGACAAAAAGCCGAGGTGGCGGGGGCAAGACTCACCAATTCCCATGACTACCAGGAATCCGGTGCAAAAGCGGCCGAGATCCAGCACGGCAGCGCCGGAGCCCTCGACAAAGTCATCGGGGTTGGCGCATCGGGAGCAGATCCAGTTGGGGATCGGAGCCAGAACATAGGTGGCTACGACGAGAAGCGGGTAGTAGACCTTCCAAAGGGCGCAAGAGAGAATGACGAGAAGGAACCCAACAGCGAGAACGAAGGAGAGGGCGATGATGGTCTTGAGCCCAGCGGTAGGCATCTTGGATGTCGGAGAAGGCGGGTGCTGCGTCTTTGGTGTTACTTGTTTCGGACGGGTATCGGGTCTGAGGAGCTAGGAGCTGGGTATATATAGAGGGCCCCGCCGGGGCTGCAAGTTGAGAATTAAAGAGAATCCTGTAGCTCTTTTCAGAGATTCTAGCGCCGATGGTCCGTACAGAAAGTTTTGTCGATTGGTGATCGGAAGGGAGCTTCGTCGTGGTGTGTTTGAGCGGTCGTCGTGAATCGCGGCTAGGCTGGCAGGCTGAGCTGTGATGCGATGGCGGGTCCAAGCCTGACGCAGTAGGATGGGAAGGCCGTCGTCAGCGCTCACGGCGGAACCTTGTTCCAGAACCCGGAGTGACTTGCTCAGGAGTGGTCTCGGCCCACCCCGACTACCTAGACCCTCCTCCCGGGCGCAGGGAGGGGAGGTAAGGTACCTACAGGCAGGCGGTACGTAGCTAGAGAGTGCACGGAGCACTTTGCACCCCGGCACCTGGCTCCAGGCTGAGAGAGTGCTACGAAAGCTCGATCTGCCTTGAGCTGCTGGGCTGGCGGGCGCGAGAGGGACGCCCCTCGCTTTATTACCTATCCATCACCAAGCTTTCACCCTACCCATCACCGACTGCTCGCCCAACATCCACGAAACCACCCCGCGATATCCTCTTCCTCACAGCCACGCCTCTACGAGTTCTACAATATCCCCTGCTGCAGATCCCCTCGAGCTGCTTGACGAAGCTACGAACCTTCTCTTACGCCCGCCATGTTCAGAAACAATTACGACAACGACTCGGTGACATTGTAAGTTGTTTGGTCCCCCCCTCTGCCTTCTCATGTATATTGTAGCCAGCTCTGGAGGGGAAAGCACCACAGCCTGACTGACTCTTCTTGCAGCTCGCCGCAAGGCCGGATATTCCAGATCGAGTATGCAGCCGAAGCAGTGAAGCAGGGTTCCGTGGTAGTGGGCATCGCCAGCAAAACACATGCCGTCCTGGTAGCAATCAAGGTATGACATCGCTCTCCATCATCCACTCCAGTCAACAACTGCACAGATCCTTCTATCAACCAATGACACAAAGCTAACGCAGAACCCCCTCCCGACAGCGCAACGCCGAGGAGCTGTCCTCGTACCAGAAGAAGATATTCCCCGTCGACGAGCACACGGGCATCGCCATTGCCGGCCTCACCTCAGACGCCCGCGTCCTTTCTAACTTCATGAAGCAGCAGTGCCTTGGTCACCGCATGACGTACGGCCGTTCGATGCCCCTCCGCACCCTCGTCGATATGATTGGCGAAAAGGCGCAGATCAACACCCAGGTCTACGGCAAGCGACCTTACGGCGTCGGCCTCCTCGTTGCCGGTGTCGACGAGCGAGGGCCTCACCTTTTCGAGTTCCAGCCCAGCGGCATGACGGAGGAGATGGTCGCCTTCGCCATTGGCGCCCGCAGCCAGATGGCCCGCACCTACCTCGAGCGCAACATCGACGCCTTTGAGAGCTGCTCGCGCGAGGAGCTTGTGCGCCACGGCCTCAAGGCTCTCAAGGAGAGTCTCGTTCAGGACCGCGAGCTGACGGTCGAGAACACAAGTGTCGGTGTCGTTGGTTTCACTGAGAAGGACGGCCTCAAGGAGATCCAGCCCTTCAAGCTGTTCGACGGTCAGGATGTCAAGGAATGGCTCGACAGTGTCGCGGCCAGCGAGGGTCAGGGTGCCGGCGAGGAGGGTGGTGAGGGTATGGAGGTTGACGAATAGACGCCCGCTCTTTTGCCGGAGAGGCAACAACAGAAAATATCAAGGTAGTGGGTGGATAAAAGCCCGTCTGCGTTGCGTCAGAACTAGACTGGACCATCACCAAGCTCCGTCCTCCTTCAGGCCGAGGATGCGGCTGGTGGGCCCGGCTGGGGGAGGGCAAAGGAAACGCATGGTACCTGAACGCACTGAGCCGGACCGTTTAGACTTGTACCAATAAACTGCAAAAAGGGAAGATTCAACAGCTGAATGAACGAGCTACGTCCGATGGTTCAGGAGATAAGACACATGCGGACTTGACAGCACACACTGTGACCTGTGTGCCTTCGAGACAGGAGTGGTTAAGAATGTAGGTTTGTTTCTTCGTTGTGGAACGCCCACGGTGGTCTATCAAAAATTACAATGCTTGCAACCGACAGTACAACACGAAAGCCGACCTCCCCTATCTCCCCCTCCCCCTCCCCGTCTAATGTCTTATCCCATGTGTCACCGGCACCAGCGGCAAAGGCAGAGATCCCTCCCCTTCGCGCGTTGCTTTTCTATCTAACCCCATGTACACGGCCGTGACGCAGAGACGAGGAAATAAGAAGGGCGCCAGACTCCGGTACGCACCCGCCGTCACGTTGCACAAACAATCGCACACCTGACCTCCTCCTTTTTTGGTTGCTCTCACTCTTCATATCGTGTTTCTTGCCCCAGTCTCTCAATTCGTATGTGTTCCGCTTTCCCGCAAAGAAAAAAAAACAAGAAAAAAAAGGTCTGGATTGAATAGGCTTGCTGCGGATCTCCTGCCATTTACGACTTGGTCCAGTCGAGCTTGAAGGTGGCCTCGGAAACCTTGTAATCGCGGAGCGCTTGGATAGCGCCCTCAGGGGTGGTGGAGGTGACGAGGATGTCGGCATTGGCGGCCTTGATGAAGCCCTCGTCAACGCTCTTGCCGACCCATTCGAGGATGCCGTCGTAGAAGCCGTTGATGTTGAGGAGGCAAATACCCTTGTCGTGGATGCCGAGCTGGTTCCAAGTGGCCGTCTCGAGGACCTCCTCGATGGTGCCGTAGCCGCCGGGCAGGGCGATGAAGCCGCTTCCGGGGCCACCAGCGAAAACCTCCTTGGCCATCATCTGCTTGCGCGTGTGCATGTCCTTGACGACCGTGGTGCGGCCGTAAACGACCTCGTCGGGTACGTACATGTTGTCCTTGTTAATGGTGCCATAGGTCCCGTCGCGCTCGTACCTGACGAGGGCCTCGGGGATGATGCCATGGACCGAGTCCGGACCAGCGAGGGCAACAAGGGACTTTGCCACCTCGCCCATCAGGCCGACAGTGCCACCGCCGTAGACTGCGAAGTTTTAGCTGATGTCATTTTTATAAGTGTGCAAAGGTTTAATGATGTGTGAGCGTGGGGCGCTGCATTTCGTTATCGATGCAGCGCCCAGGGCTTTTCCGCTGTCACAATGGGTGGGTAGGAGTGAATGCCAAGAAGACGGGAACGGGAACAAGTGGTGACGATAGAGAGGGGGGGGGGGGGGGGGGGGGGTATGAACAACTCACCGAGGTCAATGTTGTTTTCTGCCATGACCCTGGCCAGCTCACGAGCGGCCTCCATGTGCTGGGGCTTGAAACCAGGCGAGGCACCGCAGTAGACACAGATCTTTGTCCGTTTCTGCACGCCGTTCGTGGTACCGTTGATGCCGTTGGTGTCGTGGGTGCTGGTGCCATTGATGGCGTCAGTGTGACCATTCGTGACACTGTTGGTGATGGTGTCGTTGCCACCAGGTGTGCCATCCCGGGATGCCGGGAATGATGGCAGAGGTGAAGGGCCGCCAGACTGCATTGTTGCGGTTGTGTCGAGATTTCTGACGGCAGTCAAGTGTATACGAAGACAGAGGACTTGGCTTGTTTTTGCTCCCTTTATGGTAGTTAGTTTGATAGCGAGGGAGAATAAGAGGCTTCCAAACCGGCTTACGAGGGAGGTGGTGCTCAGCTTTAATAGGACGAGGCACGGAAGGAGGTCAAGATGACGGGAATTTGTGGAGACCGGTAATAGTCACGCCGGGAAAGTAGACCTAGTTGACGGCGCGTCCCGAGAGATTTACAGAATGCCAAGCTCTGAGTTAAAAGAAGAGAAGACTAGGAGTCACAAGAGATCAAGAGAGAAGATGAGGAAGGGAAGATGAGATGGCGGTGAAAAATCGACCCCGTTATATACTTCTCTGGGGACGACCCAAAAAGGGATACAAATTTGTCTCGTTGGTTGGGGTTGAAAGGGGAGCAAGCTTATTGTTGGCGACTCGGCGTATCAGCTATCCTGGCAACCACCTGAAGGACAATAAGAAAGGAAAGAAAAGAAAGATTGGGCGAGGCGAGAGGGAAGCACAGGTATCAATGAGACAACGAGATGTCAAGTAGCCGCCACAGACGCATGGACGGCGGGCCGAAGCTCTGGGTTTAGCGTAGCGACTGGAACGAGTCGATGGTTCCAAAGACTCGCTCGGGAGCCCGTAGCTCGTGTACCGGTACACTAATGCTGGGTCTAGTTTGATGCGTAGTACACCATCTGGGAAGGAAAAAGCAAAGCCCCAAGCCCTCCCTCGTTGCTTAACCGGAGACGAGGGTCGGGGGTTGGGTGACAGTGCTGAACATGGATGCGTGTGTATCTGGGACGGGGAAGGGGCCGTGGACCAGAGATGGATCCGGGACTGCGCTTTGCTTCCGCTGCGCAGCGACGTGTGCGACACTCGATTTGTTGAACCAACCTGATTCGACTCGACCATCGCCGAGGCTTGACAAACTTGGGGGACCCTGGTTTGCTTGCGTAGTGGTTTGTATTCGCAAACTTGTTACGCCGCGACTGGCCCGCACAAGTGTTCAGGTGACAATGTCGGGGGCGAGGTCCGAGTCCAGTCTGGTGCGTTGTTCGATCTCAGTAGGCCCCCGTCTCTATAGGATAGCCGCTGAGGACTGAAAAGCAAACAGAACGGGGGTATGTGTCGTGCGGTTGTTGAGAAAAACGAAAGCCACGGGGATCGATCCATCTGGTTCCGGCTACAGATGTCGGCGAACCCTAGCAATTACCGCAATCAGGTACGTATACTGATGACGGCGTTTATGCTGGAAATGAATGCATTGAAGAAACGAGAGCGAAGGCAGACGCATAGGGAGCCAACACATGTATGTACGTATGTCACTCTTGGCCGCCGGTGCAACGGCACAACACGGCCACTCGCGTGTGTACTGCGCCGTTAACGAATGGGCGGGAAAGGGGCCACGGGAGTCTGTTCTGTGTTGGATGTCGATTGGGTTGAACGAGGTTCTTCACTTGCAAGATGTCGGACGATGTGGGCACGGTACGACACGAAGAATAACCTACCGGTACCTTGTCGATGGAACCTGACAACGCCAGACAAACGCACAGCTGGGTACACTTTGACACTGCAGCATTGGCAGGAGCTTCTGCTTCTCTGTTCTCTTCGCGCCCCCGGGCGGCCCTCTTCCTAGCCTGCTGCGCCGAGTTCCAAGTCCACTGTGCTGGATTCGTGGTGACGCCTCGGCCATTGATTTGCCCGAACAGCACGCAATTTCCATACTGTCCCGCAGCCACACAGTCGCCTCCAGGGTCCAGTGCGCCAGTGCCAGACTCTGGCGATGCACTCCGTCGCCCGCCAATCTCCATAAAGATTGTCCCGACTTCACTCCTCCAACAACCGATATCGCCGACATCCTCGGTTACTGCGTTGGGGATAGACACGGTACCTTTCGCCATTCTGTTTGACGAGTTGCTATCTTGTGACCATCAGTAGCAGAGCGATCAGGCTCTTCTTGTCTCAATCAGCGAGTCTGCTGTTCGGCATCCCCGCATTGCCCCAACAGCACGCGATCTGTCCTCCGCAATCTCAAGATCCCGCCAACCCCCGAATATACTGTCTCGCACACACTGTGGAAGATGGCACAGCCCAATGCGCCAGCAGCGGCCGGCGCTCGTCCGGCCGCCCAGCCACAGGAACAAGGCGTGAGTGTCCTGCCTGCCAGCTCGCGGGGTTTGCATCATGAGGAACGTCAAGCTGACTAACCGCTTCTGTAGGGCATGAGCATGATGCAGAAACTGCTCCTCGGCGGCTCCATGTACTTTGGCATGAACATGCTCATGAACAACATGTTCAAGAAGACCCAGACCGGCACCCAGGTTAAGGACGCTGACGGCAACATCATCAGCGTTCCCGCCAACACCGAGGACATCCCGCCATATCTGCTCCGCCCCAAGACCCTGGACGAGGGTGCTACATACAGCAATATTCCCCGAAAGCTCGCTCCGATATGGCCCATGGACAGCTACATCGACATCACCGTGACACTGTCTGACACCTTCGTTCCGACTCCGCTGTCGCAGACGCCGCAGGAGAAGGTAGTCCTGAAAGAGCAGAAGTTCAAGATTGGCAATTATAGCGAGAAGCGGTCCGTCGATACCACCATTGATATCCCCCCCTCAGTTCAGAACAACGGTACCCTCTGGGGTCACTTCTACATCTCGTTGCCCGGAAGCCAGCCTGATCCACACCTGGACACTTACGACCCTGCTTCTGCCTACTACTTTGCGTACCCCCTCACCCAGTACATCCCCAAGAAAAAGGAGTTCAAGACAAGGTCTTTATTGGAGGGTAAGGTCGAGGAAGAGCCAGAAGAAACCATTGAGGAGAACGAGACGGGCCCTATCATTGCCAGCTACTACCACCCGAACGCTAGCTTCTCCATCATCCCCAACACTGGAGTACTCGACTACCGTCAAACCCACCCGGCCATCCGCCCATTTATTCATCTTGAGCCGACTGGCGCCAGGGACGGGTCGGGTCAACACTCGTGGTACTGTAAGTAAATTCTACGCGGTCCCGTCGACGGGCAGTACTGACCTTTGTAGACCCCATATTGTTTGTCAACACCTTCTGGCAACTCAAGAGCCAGATGATCCTGCTCAATGACACTGTAAAGTCGGTTCCGCTGCACATTGATCTGAACAATATGCGCTCTTGGCAGTTCAACACCCTCGCCGCGATAGAGGCAAGTGCCAAGGAATCCGCACGCCAGGCTGCGTATGGCGGATCGCTGCCCGGCGGTGGCGATGGCTCTGAGATTGAGATGGTCAAGGAGATTTTTGGAGACACAAATCCCATCCTCCTGGGTGTCACTATCATCGTCAGTATCGCCCACATGATATTGGAAACGCTTGCTTTTGGTTCCGATATTGCGCATTACCGCAAGAAGAAGGACAACGTCGGCATCTCTGTCCGGTCTATCCTGGCCAACGTCTTTATGCAGGCAGTCATTCTGCTCTATCTTATCGACAACTCGCAAAATACCAGCTGGATGATTCTGGGTGGCCAGGCGGTGGGCATTCTCATTGAGCTGTGGAAGATCACCACGATTGTCAATGTTTCGTTCAAGCCAGCGCCGCCTGGCTCGTGGTTGCCCTTTGCTATCGCTGTGGAGGACAAGCACAAGCTCAGCGAGACAGAGGAGAAGACTAAGGAGTACGACGAGATTGCCTTCAAGTACATGTACATTGCTGGCGTGCCCCTGCTCATTGGCTACGCCATCTACTCGTTGGTGTACGAGACGCACAAGTCATGGTACTCGTACATTATCGCGACCTTGGTCGGCTCCGTCTATGCATACGGCTTCCTCATGATGGTCCCCTCTCTGTACATCAACTACAGGCTGAAGAGTGTAGCGCACATGCCCGCCAAGGCCATGATGTACAAGTTCCTTAACACCTTCATCGACGACCTGTTTGCCTTCACCATCAAGATGCCCTTCCTCCACCGTCTGTCCACTTTCCGCGACGACATCATCTTCTTCATCTACCTTTACCAACGTTGGGCCTACAGGATTGACTACACCCGTGTCAACGAGTTTGGCCAGGGCGGTGACGATGAGGAGGAGGATGCAAACAAGGCGAAGGCCAAGGAGCTGCTCGAGAGCGATGCGGCCTTGGAGAAGGTCAAGGATGTCACGGGTAAGGCCACGGGCGCCGACACTGGCAAGGCGAAGAAGAGGAAGTAGCTGCCAAAGACACCACGCGGCAGAGGAGGAGAGTGCGGATAACACCATGGACATGATGGACATGGCACAGGTGGGACAAGGGGCAACTATGACAGCTCGTCGTAGACAGGCCAAATGGCCGCGTAACATACTGAATCAAGATCCATGTCTCTGTCAAGGGCCACAAAGATGCTCTCGTCGTTTCTCACATCTCGTCTGCGTTGTGCATCTCATCTGCAGAAGAATACAAACTAGGCATGCACGCTTGGACGGTCTGGCGAGACGACTAAGAAAGTGTTGGGTCGGAGGAAAAGCAAGAATGATCTACTGGGCGGCGCCTGCCCGTCCCAGTGCCCCGAAGCCATCCTACCATACCCATACCTCTGAAGATTCCCACCTTGAAAGGACAACGGACGGAGGATCAGCCTCAAAGCGTGATACATGGCCCACTCGGCTAAGCTGATATATTGCAAAAAGCAGCGTGAATCGGTAAATGGGTGGCTTTCGCGGCTGAGGAGCCATGGGAAACCCATGCCACCAGGGGGCCTCAAGAGTCGCCAATGACGGAACTTTACAGTCGGGTAGGAGCCCCGTGCCTGGTAGGGCAGAGACAAGCGCGTATGTCACCGCGCCTATCGGAGGGCTCCATTGGATGAAGGGATGACGCCAGGTCCCCTCCAACGCTGTTTTAGGGCCGGGATTGAAGCTCCACGTCCCTATTCGTACAGAGCACCCACTGATTCTGATTCTCTAGCTTCTCCCTTAGTGGACCTAGGTAGAGATCTAGGTGGCTTAGTGTGCGTGGCACGAGGGCTGTCGTTGCGAAAGATGAGTTAGCTGCCGAAAGTAAACAAAGAGGCAGTAAGCAGGCAGTGTTGCCATGTTCCTGGGCGATGTGTTTTGGTTGATCGAATATTGTCCGCACAATGCGCAATGCAATGCAATGCCTTGGAACACAAGGAGACGCCGAGGCCTGATGCATTCGATTCCCGAAAAGTGGGCAGGGGCGGCGGCTCCACGGAAGGAGAAGGAAAACACTCTGTAAAACGGCCGCCCATGCCTATAGCAAAACAGGCAGAAAGATACCTGCCTGAGGTAGGTAGGTACCTTGGTAGCCAGGTAAGGCATTCGTACAGCTAAGGTAGGTACCCCGAGTAGAGCAGCGACGACGGCTGAGCTAGCTACCTAAACACCCACTACCAAATCCCACCCCAAAAGTTAAAGCTCCTTCGCGTGACCCCGGCTCCCTAGTGTTTGACACTGGGTTGGATCCAGTTCCGTTCTTTCAGCCAGTAAGGTGAATTGCCCGGTTATGCTTTCTTTTCTTCTCTCTTAATCTTTCCTTTCGCACTTCCATTCACGTCCCCACCATCCCCGTCGCGTGCGCTCCTCCTGCTTGCTTCTGGTTGAGGGCTCCGTTCGTCACATGTTTAGGGGCCCCGCCTGCCACTCTAGTGTTCGTCCCATGGATTTCTTCGATTGTGACATAGAGATGGCCGCATAGAGTCTATAGCAACGAAATACGGATAGCCAGTCGAGCATAGCCGATAGCAGACCACCCGGTCCAGACACCAAGACCTCTCTCTGTAAGAGCAACGCACCCAAGCCCACCAAGCAGAGCTCCGGACTTTCGGTACCATCCGTCTACGGGGATTCGAGGTCCACGCTCCCTCGTACGTAGTGGGCGGTGGAGTTCCACGACACGTCTCTCATCATCCCAGATAGGTCCTCCCCGGTACCCCGACGCTCCCTTGCCTGTTGGGGCCAAGCCTTCGTTCTAGAGGAAACGTACGCTACAAAACAGGTTCGGACGGTGTGGCCGAGCCGCCCGCTCGCGCCCGCTGTCCGTCATTTGCTCTTGCAGTTTCCGCCCCATTCGGGATATTCTGCAAGTCCCTCTCCAAACCTACCAAAGGAACGCTGAAGGGGATTTATTACTGGGGCGCGCGCCGCACGGCATCCGCCAAAACCACTGAAGGCACCCCCTTCAATTGAACTGCCGTTTGCCATCGCGCGAACACCTCTTCCTCATCCTATCCCGACGAAGCCCCTCGAAAAGAAATCTTTCGAGGAGACCACGGAAGGGTTCGCCGAATCATGAGCAGCCCTACCGTCGGGTCCCTTCTGGCTGACATTGCGACACTCATCGGTGATGGCCTGCGAATCTTCCAGCTTGCCGATAAGAGCCAATGGGGACCTGACGAACACGAGCAGTTGCGCCTGCTCGAGGACACCCTCGACGACGCCAAGAAGGACTTCCAGGAGCTGTCGGTCCTCGTCAATGGCCAGCGCTATTACATGAATGACCGTAAACGTAAGACCCCTCAGCATTCCCAGCATTGTCGACCATCGCTCCGCGCCAGTCCAGAAGCTGGTTCCGAAGTTCTACGGAACCCCGCGATATAGCGGAGGCCTCTGCGCTGGCCTGTCGGCTCCCCGCCAAATCTCGCCTAGCTTCTGTATTGCACAACCAGTCATGACCTCAGGCTGACATTGCTCCTCTAGCCCCTTCAATCGCCGAGTTACGAGTACTGCATTCGAAATTCGAGCTTCATGTCGCAAACTTCAAGGACTGGGCGAGGATAGGAGGGCCGGTCAACCCGGTATGGGCACGGGACACGACAGAATTGCGTCGCGAACTTCACCGTGCACAGTGCCGTGCCGCCCGGAGGATATTCGCAGCAGAGCAGGAGACGTCAGCAAGGTGTCTAGGCGCCTTCCTTGTCTACAGAAAACAGCGCGAATGGCAGAACCGGCCAGCTATGGACGAACATGAGCACCATCGGCGGCATGTGGAGGAAGTGGTGGCTTGCAACACCATTGGCAAGTTTGAGCGTTTCGGAGACAGAGACATTGCTTTCGTGTGCGACTTTTGCGACGGGCATCTGGTATGGGAGGATCTAGAGAGCATGCCATCGCTGCGTGCGGCCGAGGAGTCCAGCACCAGCCCTGTGCCGCCCATCTCGCCGACGACGCAAATGCCGCACTGGCAGGCGAGAGCTTTCACCACGTCAAAACGCCGAGAAGAGAAGACAGTTGTGTTCGCGCCCTTGGCGATAGCGAACCACATGGCACCATACCAGGGGGATTGGGTCGCCCGCTTCCTATGCCCCTTTTGCGACGAGGCGCCGTACACCGAGGGGAGCAGCGACGACGATGACCTACGAAATACCCCGGACGACACCGGGTTTGAGGATCTTCGGGCTTTCCAGGAACATCTCGAATGGCAACACACGGCGGCCTCAATACCAGCCGTGCCCCTACCCCGGGCAGCCAAAGAATGTTTGGTGATGTGACACCATCTATTCAACGACGGTTTCTAGCGACGAAATAAGTCGGTTCGTTCATGTACATGTATATCTGTCTTTTCGTCACGGCCGAGGAGTTGGGGATTTTAATGAGGCGGAGCGGAATTGGAGTTCATCTGCACCACAAGGCATGACGTTATTCCTGGTTTCCTTTTCTTTTTTTCCTTTTCTTTTCCCCTTTCCCTTGCCTACTTACCTCTTGATACCTACCTTGGAACGGCCATTTCATACAAAGATTGAGATCGCCCCCTTTCATATACACAGTCCGAAGAGACTCATCACGACAGAGATACCCAAAGTCGGGTAGTGTTGGATCATGTTCCCTATTAAGACTCCAAATAACCACTATTCTGCAGAAGACCTCCCATACTTCGCCGTTCTTCTCCCCGCATTTCTTCTGGAAGACCCCACGTCGTAACTTGTTTGATACACATAGATACAGAGATAGATATAGGACCGCTGCAGTAATTAACGCCTGTCTGCCGGGGGAAAAACCCCCATTCCAAACAGGCTCTCAATGAGGGACGGTCCCGTTGACCCTCCTCCTTCCTCCCTTTTTTTATGCTGCCGCCGCCACAAACAACAGACTAGAAGAAACGCCACCAGAAGAAGACGATAATGATGAACCCCAGCGCGCCGAGCGGGCCGTACTGCTTCAGCAACAGCTCCCAGTTGATCCTCACTGCAGCTCGCCTGTACTTCTTGCTGTCGTCACGCAGGCGGGAGCTGAGCTCGCCCATGCGCTCGAGCGAGTCGCCGCGGTAGAGCAAGTCCTCGATGTTCTTGGTCATGACTTTTGTGACGTCGCGCAGTTCGTCGTTGAGCTTGTCGAGGTTCTGGGAGGCGCGAGCGTCCGAATAGGTGGCCTTGGTGCGGGAGATAAAGGTGTCAAACTCCATGAACGCGTAGGGCCGCAGGGACGGGGAGTGGAGCTGGGCGACAGGGTAGGTCGTCGTGAACTCGCGGGCGAGGTCAGCGAGGTACGTGAAGGCGAGCTTGCGCGGGTATGAACGCTCCGTTATGCAGAGGAACGTAATGTCCGAGTCGATCAGGTAACTGGCGAAAAGGAGTCAGTGCCGATTTGGCGAGAGGAGGGTACAGTGATTGGGGGGGGCGTACTTCAAGTTGTAGGCGCCGCTTTCAATACTGGCTTGGGGTTCCGAGTTGCGCGTGAGCTTGCGGAGGACCTGTTTGATTTGAGACTTGACCTCGGAGAGAGCGGCTTCTTGTTGCTCGTCGTCGACGGAGGCGCAGAGCATCAGACCTGGTAGGTGTTAGTCCGTTCATCAGGATGCGAGGAAAGAGGGGTTATATGACGTACCGTCTAGTCTTGCTATTTGCGTTGAGCGGATCATTTTGTCGGTGTGTGCGGTGGTGTGGGAAAACGGATGTGAAGAGGACTTCTGACGGGTTCGTGGAAGGCACAATATAGTATCGAGGCTGATTTTCTGTCGTCGGGGGGGGTTATCACAGCTTAACTGGGTCGTTGAATAGACGTGTCCTCAAGAGGCTGGGTGTCCTCGTGCGCATGTGTCGGATGCGCTGGGACTAAAGTGTCGGTTCGAATCGTTTCGTTGTTGCTGTCACGAGGTAGTCGACGAGAAGTGCAAGGAGTTCGCTTGGTGCCAGTGTCCTCTTCTCGAACCAGGGGCTCTTTTCTCCCCCATCTGCTAAATCAGGATCATGGGTCTTCGGGCGCTGGAGAGCTCTTGGTGCTCCGCGTCCCTGGGAATTGAAAGGACACCACGGGGGGGTCAATGCTGGCCAATTGGAGGGCCCAAGCCAGAAGGGGATTCCCTGCTATCCGGAGGGTGTGGCGCCCGTAGGCCAAGCGCTCAACTCAGCCTTTTTATGCTTTCCCTTCCAACCACATACATTTTTGGGGACATGTCGTGAGTGTCCGAACTTCTTGTGATATTGCAACTTACGGTATTCGTTTCAACATTGTATCTCTGGGAGAAGACCCCGAGGTGACTTTATTCATGGTCGAAGTGTCTCTCGCTCTCCTATTGTGTGTCGCGTCTTGTTTGTAAGTTTCGTCCAGGCGCTTTGAATCTCATCTCAAATCCACCTGCAGACTTGCCTGCTTTGTGAGAGCCACTTGACAAAGACAGTGCAATCAAGACTCCCTACACAAACGTATTTTTCAGAATAGCATCAAAGAGCAATGGATGCTCCATTCAAATGCCGCTCATTGACACTTGTTTAGACCTGAGCCTATGTGCATATAGCCAATTAAGCCCAATCATCCCGTACCCCGAACCAAGGGCCCAGAATGGCTCCTGCCTCAGTAAACGTAGAAATGGCCGACTACGCTTCTTCTTTGCCAACCGCTGGCCTCTCCCCTCCTCCCTTTTCTGAAGGCTCGGAGTACGAGAACGTCCATCAGCAAAGCCAACAAACCTCACCCGACCAAGCGCCTGCCCTTGTGGATAACATCAACCTCGACCCCACGTTTACAGCTACAGAATTAGACAGTATGCGGAGATCGGCTCGTAACACGAATAAACCCAAGACAGTCATCGTGACTTCCCCTTCAAGGCCCACCAAGCGGAAGATCACAACCAGGGTGATGAAGAAGACGCCCAAGTGGACGACTCAGAAGCTCCTGACGGACCCTAAGTCGCCGCTCGCCAACGCTGATTTGAGGGTGAGTGATCTTTCACTCATAAGAAAATCACGCTTTTGATTTACTTTTCTTTCCCAACAGATGGGAACCACTGACCATGTTACACCCCAGACCATCCTCTGCCAGCCAGCCGCCTGGGACATCCTCTCCAAAGAAGAGCGCGCCGAGATCATTGCCCTCTTTCCTCCTGGCACGCGCATCCTTGATCCGGACACCGAAAACGCCCGCCTTGATCTCGACTCTCTTCGCAACGACAACAACTTCCGCCATGACTGTGCCACGTACACTGACAACATCGCCATGGGCAAGCACGACCCGGAATGGCTCGAGCAGGCATTTGCAGCGCGCGAGAGACGGCGCGCTGGGGATTTTGACAGCTACCTGAAGCAGAAGTTCGAGGATGAGTGGTCGTGCGAGCTACCTGAGGGATTTGGGCTCAATCGAGATGGGAATGGACCCACGAATGGAGTCACGGCTGCCGAGGAGCAGCGAAAGGAGGAGGGGGAGACCCAGATGGAGGCGAAGGTGAAGAACGCTGAAGGAACCGAATACGCTGAAGTCACCCAGGAGCAGCCGAATAAGGATACCCGGATGATTGATGAAGGCGATTCCGAGGAGGTTGTGGACGTCAAGCTCGGGTCCCCTGCATCTCAGACACATGAGATCCAGCTTGGATCCCCTATTCCTGAGGAATCGGGTGTGAAGCTTGGATCCCCTATCCCTGAGCCATGAGAGAGGGGAATTTTCAGAGAACCGAATAGATACCCCTCCTCCCAGAGGAGCAGACTAGTGTGTCTGATGGCCGAGAGGATGAAGCGAGGCCGGTGAAGTAGCACTAATAGTTACCAGAGAGCAGAGGTGCCCCGTCGCCGATCAATGATAATATCACGACTTACGAATTATGGCATGGAGTGGCTTTCAGCATCACTAAATTCAAAGGAAGCTGGGTATAGCTGCTCCGGGGGTAAAGAGAGGCGCAGTTCCTCGAACTAAATAAGTCTGAGTTGTGCTATGAAAGGTTCAAGTATACAATAAAGAACATTAGATCTCATGATAATACGGACAGTATATTCTGTATCGAATTTGGTCCTCTATTAACCCATATTCCAAGAAGGAGGGCCATGTCGGACAACTGAATGCAAGAATCGTGGCCATATTGGGCCCAGCCTCGGCGCCTTCGTTGGGAACAGCGCGGACGCATCGCAATGGTCAGCATGTATTCCACGGCAGTACTCATTTCTGCCGGTTCCGACATTATAGAGCTTTTTTCAAAGACGGAAAGACCGACGGTAGTGAGTTGGCAGTAGAAATAAAATGACTGGACCCTTTTCTTGGTAGGTGGAAAGCATCCATACTTGATACTCGGTGTGATTCCTTTGGTGAACAGCTGGTTCTCGCTCAATGCCCCACATCACCGACAAGTCTTCCCCACGAAAAGCGTCAACCGCAGAATTGATATCCCTGCAACCTTCACTCCCGATACCACAGTCTTTTTTGACAAAGCTGCCGTGACCGCTGATCGGCGACTCTGTTATACCTGCAAAGTCATCGAGCGGTGGGAATACTCATTGTTGGGCTCAATCCTAAGCTTAGGCATTTCCCTCGGCGATCTCGCTCACCCCCACCAGAAGCCCGTGTTGCGACGGCTCCTTCATAAGCCGTTATGGCGCCCTCGGCTGAAAACCACAGTCGCTCGCACAGTCTCTTGCTCTTTCAGAAGCTACTGAATTTGAGGGATGGCGCCAGTCCCCTGACTCTTGTGCTGGACAGCCTTGAGCAGGGTGCTGCGCCTGTCCTGCGGGAGTTCGTCTCCAGAGCCAAGGTATGCGCCGCTCTTTTCGCGCCTGACTAGAAAGATGTCTTGGAACACGACAACTATATCATGCGAAGTCTTTTATTACGAATATCGTGGCGGGATCTTGGTTTAACGGACTTCACACAGGTTGCGAAAGCCAAGGTCATATTACTCTCATTTGCGACTCTTAAGCGGCCACGAGATGTAGACGTTGTCGTACGAGCCCGAGGCAAGAACCCTAAGGCTCTTAGGGCAGAGATCCTCTCACATTACCCCAAGATTCATCCTGCCGCCGCCGCCAAGAGTGCATCATCCCAAAGTGAGTGGCCTCCCTGGTTGGCCTCCTAGTAGCTCTGACTCACCACCTTGGCAGAAACCGTTGTGCTGCTTGACTCACTCAACGAGCTCGCCACAGCGGCACCTCAGATCATGCCGACTTTCCTGTCGAGCATCGTTATGCCGACGGTGTCTCTCGTAGCAGTGTACCATACCGATGTTCCCATTGTACTCCCGCGATCAGTAAGCGAGTACGAGCCTCACCCTCTGACCGTCCTCTCTCACTTGGCCACCTCTATTCTTCGGCTATCAAGTCTACGTCAGGAGATCGAGCGTCAGAGGGCGAGGAACAGGAGTCTCCAAGAGCCAGAATGGGGGCTGGGCGAGGGCCGTGAAGGCGTCCTCGTCGGTCTCAAGGGCGACACCAAATCCGAGGATTATCATGGCGTGGTCGTCGAAATGGAAATCAGGAGGCGAAGCGGACGTTCCATGGCGGAAAAGTTCGTCGTATTGCCACAGGTGGGCCAGAGCATAACCACCACATCCGCGAAGGGATCCAAGATTTTCCTCCTCTCGGAGCACCCTGTATTTGCTTCCCCCGGGGGTTCTGGCGCTACGGGTTTTGGAGATGGAGAGGACGATGAGCCAGAGAGTACATTCAACCTGGGCCTCACGGAGAAACAACGACGGGATAGGGAGGGCATTGTGCTGCCTTACTTTGACGCGCAGACGGACATAGGGGCGGGGGAGGGTGGAAGGATCCTGTACGAGATGGGCAGAGAGGATGACTTTGATGACGAGGAGGACGAGATCTAGACGGCCTCATTGCCTGAGACATAAAGAAATGAACATCATCAGTATACGCCTCGTTCGAGGCCTATGATTAGGTACGACCCTTGTACTGTGTTTTCGTCGTAGTTCGGTCCAAGTGAGGCCAAATCTGGGAAGAGCGTTTGCCTGTCCACCAGCTGCCGCGTAACGGCTGCGACCTTCCTTCCTATAGGGGCATCTCTGACTCACCTCCCCACTGAGGCCAAATTCAAAGTGAAGGAAAGAACGTACCTTCTGCCGATGAAAAAAAAAAGGATTTCTCGGTCCTGCGTGTTGAGTTAATCGCCAACCCGTCCAGGTACGTTCGGGTACGTACCCTTACTGATCTAGGCCGCCACTTCCAAAATCTATATAAGTCCTCCAACTCACACCCCGTCTTAGAATCTTCTTCTTTTTTTCTCCTTAGCTCTTCTTTGCCTTTGGCTTAGATCAAGTGTAGTATCTGTTCTTTTCAGTTTAATCTCTGAAGAAGATACCTAATGGTATCAATCTGGATTATTCCTATTTTTGATCGCCGAGGTCGTGCCTCTGCGGCTTGCCGCATGCCGACTTCATCGTGTCCCTGGTATTTCACTGCCTCCAGGTGACGCAAACCGTGGTTTTCATTGCTAGCTCTGGCTTGTCCAGGGTAGTGAAGAAGACGTGATAAGCTCGAAGCGTCCGCATAGAGCCCGTGGTGCCAGTTTCGTGGTGTTTGAAGATGGTTTGTTGAAGCTATGTAGTAATGTCAGTCGAGGGGGTGTAATATTCGATGGTGTTAAGTTGGCGGCATGGAACCCGCCGGAGCTTGCCAGCGGGTTCGGTGGAGCTTGCCCAGAAATAGAGCTCATGCACGTCTCCCCAGCGCTAAATTCCAGGGGCGTAAAGCTTGAATGTGTGCCAGATGAATCAACCTACCCAGCGCAACTGCTACCCCAAATTTTCTTCAGCCTCACCGTGACGTCGTTTGCCGGCACAACCGTCCAACATCGCAACCCATCGCTCTTCTCCATTTCCCTCGAGTAAAGACACATCCACTAATCCAGTACAACCATGGGTCGCGGGCGCGATAGCCGGCAGGCGTGGGACGAGCCCGACCGACGGAATCATCGCGGCGGTGGTGGTCCCAGAGACCGCGATGGTAGACGGGACGATCGCGACAGAAGAGACGACCGTGATAGGAGATACAGATCCAGATCGCGCGACCGGCGCGACGACAGAGACCACCGCCCTAGATCCAGAGATCGCGAGAGAGACCGTCTACGCGACGACCGCGATGGAGGTCGGCCGCCTCGCAGAGAGCGTGGTGGGTGGCAGGGTAGAGACGATAGGCGTCGCAGAGATGACGACTTGCTTGATGAGAGGCCGCCTAGGCGAACCGATGATGACGAGGGTCGGAGTAAGTGTAGCTCTTATCTTGAACTTAGTTACATATCATATACTAACGTCCGACGAGACACTCCACGCGGCAAAGACCGCAGACGGTCTGCTTCTCCCCGTCGAAGTGGTAGCCCACCTCTTGCCCGCCGCGACCCGGTCAGCTACACCGAGACCCTACCCACACGCACAGCACCCAGAGGGAAGAAGGAGCAGCACACCATGTCCTTCAAGGTCGGACGCCACGAATCCCCAGAGGTTGAGAGCGGACGTGACAGCGAGCGCGGCGACACGCCGATGACAAACGGGGGACGGGACGACCGCCGCGAGGCTGCCGACGACGACGAGCCCGAGCCTGAGGTCGAGGTCGAAGACGATGACATGGCCGCCATGCAGGCTATGCTGGGTTTCGGCGGCTTCGGCACGACCAAGAACAAAAAGATTGCAGGGAACAACGTCGGCGCCGTAAGGAAGGAGAAGAAGACGGAGTATCGGCAGTACATGAACCGGCAGGGCGGTTTCAACAGGCCGCTTAGTCCCTCGAGGTGAAGGGTGATTGGGCGTGCGATTCGATTCGGTGCTGGGGATTTCCCAGGCCTTGGGCATTGTATTGATGGGTCATGGTACCGGTGCCTTTTTGCAATGGCAGGCAACACCAGGTATGCCTCACGGTTGTATTATTTTTGAAGATACCTACAGACGAACAATAACGGAGTCGTATTTACATTATCAATCCGCGGTAGATGCGCCACTTTCCGAACTTCTTTTTGACCAGACTCAACCCGACGCGATAGATGGCGGTGCTGGCGGTGGCGATTCCGTCGTCTTTCCTTCCTTCGCCTCGGCCTTGAGCTCGCTGTCAAATATGTCAACGGACAGGCTCGCGTCTACGAAGTCCTCCAATTCCTCGGTCACCGTTTTTAGCTTCTCCTTGACCGCAGCAGCACCCTCGAACCCGACGATATGCCTCGCAGGCGGGTTTTCGTGCCCCCCGATGGCCGTCAGCGCATGCACTGTCTCCATCACCAGCCTGTCCGTGGCGCTGGGCGGCAACTTCGGGTACCTGACCTGAACCTCGTCCGTCTCGTTGGGGTCCGGCATGGCGGTCTCGGGGTTCATGTTAAGGAGGTTGCCAAGCATGTCGCGGACGCTGGGGGCCGGGTTGACCTCCGAATCGTACCATGGCAGCTGGGGCGCGAAGATAATCTTGTTGGTGAGGGACTGGATCTCCTTGTTGGGCTGGACGATTGTGACCTTGATATTGAAGGGCGCGATCTCGTACGCGAGCGAGTCGCAGAACCCCTCGAGCGCCCAGATGGCCGAGGTGTAGATGGGCATCCCCGGCGTGCCGAGGTGACCGCCCGTGCTGGAGAGGATCATGATGTGCCCTGTGTGCTGGGAGCGGAGGAGCGGCAGGGCGGCTTTGATAAAGTTGACCTGCGAGAAGAAGATTGTCTCGAACTGGTCGCGGACAAGATTCTGGGTCTGGGGAGTCGTAGAGAGCTCCTCGACGCTTCCCACGACGGCTGTTGAGGAGTCACCCGGTCAGTGTTCTTTACGAATGCAGAGGAATGATTCAAGGAGTCAGCGATACCTTCGGATCTGCAACACAGCAGGATGTCTATGCGGCCAAACACCTGGACCGCCTCGGCGACGGCGGCACCGCACTGGCCCATGACGCGGCCATCGCAGCGGATGCCGCGTATCCTGTCCTTCCACCCCTCGCGGTCCTTGCGGTTGCTCTTGCACTCGTCGATGAGCTCGCGGAACTCGGCGCTGCGGCCGTCGTCTTCGATCTCACTGGGCGGCAGACAGGCGACGACGTAGTCGCCGTGGGCGAGCAGCAGCCTGATGAGCCGGATGATGAGCGGCGAGAGGGCTGTGGTGAGGAACCATGTCCTCGGCGAGTTGTGCGTTGCTGTCACATAAGCTTAGCCAAGGTGTACGGACGACTTGTCCGGGGGCGGTCAAGCTGCATGAATGGGACTACTCACGGAAAGACGGGGCGGGAATGGAATACGAGTGCTTCGCCGCCGCCTCCGTCCCTTTACGGTCCACCATGCCCGGCGGGACTTCTGAAAGATCCTCGTCCCTTTACGTACGCAACGGAGCACCAACAAATCAGTATTCAATATCTCATGCAGGTATCAACAACGGGAGAAGGTAGCAAGACTATGGATATACAGAAATGTGATTGGTAGATGTGGGGGTGGGCTATGTAGGCAAGCTAGACAGTACTCCGGTCTGGGAATCCTGCATCTAGCGGCGGCATGGGGAGGAACGAGGCGAAACGACAGGCAGGAAGAAAGGGGATATTAATACATCTTTCCTATCGACGGCTTGTTGATGAGAAGCCGATACGTGTAACCTCAGTCGCAAGGGGGCACGCTCGGTAGCGTCTACACGTGTGCCATTAAGGTTGCATTCACCGGGATATAATCTGCAGAAAGGGCGTCGATCGATGGGGAGGGGAGGGGTTGAATGTCCAACCGTTGTTCACGGGGGTGACGATACAGTAGGGGGAGGACTGACGGGGTTAAGAAGACCTAGGTAGAAAACACGTTACATGGGCCTAGAGTCGTTTCCGCCTCAACCCACCAAGGGTAAGATAAGAGGGAGGGGTTGGAAAAAAGGCCCCCCAAGGCCCCCAACCAGGGAAGTCCCTCCCCTCCTCGCCCGTGCGATCTCAGCGCCCTAAGCGACCAAAGGCCCCACCACGGGCCACGGCCGCGGTGCCAGGCGGCATTAGGAACCCCGCGGTTGCTGGGAAATCCGGGGAACCGACCCCTCCATCCACTCACGTCATTTTTATTTATTTTTTGTTCCGACACCGGTGTCCCGCCCGGACCGCATTTTTGGCGGGGTTGCCTGTCTGGAATAGAGACTTTTTGTTCTGGCATCACCGCCCTGAGCCCCGGCCGTCCGTGACTCATTGGAAGCAACATCTCGGCCCTTACATAAAACCTAATTGAAGCGACGATCCGTCCCGTTCCATCCGTTTTCGAGCCTCCCTGTCATATTGCGAACCTGCCCACCCAATTGTCGAATACAACCTCTTCGAACCCGAGCCGCCCGCCATGCCCACTCGCGCCGACATCACCTATTTCGGTGCCGGCCCCGCGCTGCTGCCCACCGATGTCCTCGAGACGGCCGCCCAGGCGCTGCTCGACTTCAACGGCACCGGCCTCGGCATCGCCGAACACTCCCACCGCAGTGAGATCGCCACAAAGATCATCGAGGAGGCCAAGGCCGACCTGGCTGCCTACCTCGACATCCCCGCCGACTACGAGATCCTCTTCATGCAGGCTGGCGGCAGCGGCGAGTTCTCCGCCACTGTCTACAACCTCGTCGGCTCCTGGGTCGCCCGCCAACGCGACGCCGTCCTGCAGCGCCTTGGCGTCGCCGACGAGACTGACGACAGGGTCGTCGCTGAGCTGCGCAAGGTTGTTGACGAGCAGCTCAAGCTCGACTACATCGTCACCGGCGGCTGGTCCCAGAAGGCTAGCGCCGAGGCCGCGAGGCTCCTCGGCCCGGAGCACGTCAACGTCGCCGCCGACGCGCGCAAGGTCAACGACGGCAAGTTCGGCAAGATCCCCGAGGAGAAGGACTGGAAGCTGAGCCGGGACGCCGCCATGGTGTACTACTGCGACAACGAGACGGTCGACGGCGTCGAGTTCCCCGGCTTCCCCGCGGCGCTGGCGCCCAACGACAACGGCGAGGAGGGGCCCATCGTCGTCGCCGACATGTCGTCCAACATCCTCTCGAGGCGGATCCCCGTCAAGAACTTCAGCGCCATCTTCTTTGGCGCGCAGAAGAACCTCGGCTGCACGGGCGTCACCGTTGTCGTCATCAATAAGAGCCTGCTCGCGCCCCAGCCCTCGCCCGCCCTCATGCGCAAGCTGGGCCTGCCCATTGCCCCTGTTGTTCTGTCGTACGAGACCATTGCCAAGAACAACAGCTTGTACAACACCCTGAGCATCTTTGAGTGAGTTACCTCGTCTCCCCCCCCTCCTTCTTCTGGTGGTCTGGCAACTAACCACATGCCAGCGTCTACATCGCTGGCCAGGTTCTCAAGAAGCTCCTCCGCACCTTCGACAACAAGGTCGACGGCCAGCAGGCCGTGGCCGACAAGAAGGCGGCCCTCATCTACGCCGCCCTCGAGGCCCACCCAGACGTCTACCGCATCGTCCCGGACAAGTCCGTGCGCTCGCGCATGAACATCTGCTTCCGCGTCACCCGGGGCGGCGACGTTGACGCCGCCGAGAAGGCCTTTCTCAAGGAGTCCACCGCGCAGGGCCTCACGGGCCTCAAGGGCCACCGCAGCGTCGGCGGCATCCGCGCCAGCAACTACAACTCTATCCCCCTCGAGGGAGCCGAAAAGCTGGCCAAGTTCATCGACGCCTTCGCCAAGGCATGAGCGAGGGTTGGCGAACGGCGAGAATGTTTGAGAAGAGTGGTGCTTCCCCTTCGTCTAGCAGTGCGGGCTTTTCATGATACCAGGTGAAAAGCAATAACGAAACAAAATTGGTGACATCATTGGGATGGGAAAAAGTATATCGGGCATACATCTACCTAGGGAGCCATTATCTAATTCAACATTGTACTGCGAGGGCCTGTAGCTTTTGAGAATAACAGGCCCGGAATACGGCAAAAACCATGCAAACGTCCCATTTACCTGACGCTCGTATTGGCTCTCGGCTTGAACTCCTCTGCATTGCCAACGTGTTTGCCGCTGCTCTTAAGACCCGTGTCCGTGGCTTGGCTCATCTGTATCACACATTGCCTTCCGACGCAAATGTAGCAGTTTCAACTGACAGTTCCGGTTTGGATGTCACAAGAAGATCGCCTTCAAGAACATCTTTTCACGTAAAGCGTATCAAGGTAGAGTCGATTGTCTACCTTTTCTAACCCATCTTTATTTTCACTCAAGCGCAAGCTTGTTCCATTTTCCATTTACAAGGCATGGCCCTTCTTTCCTAACATGTCATCGGCGAAAACGGGGGGGGAGGGGGGGGGGACAAGCGAATTGAAGTGCATCGAAATGAGTCTCGGGTTGACGTAGGCGGATTTGATGGTCACGATATGTACAGAGGACAGAAGCAGCTTGACGACCACGACTCATCAACTGATCTCAAGGCTAGAATATTAAAGAATGAGGCCATCAAATACCTAGAGGCGCAGCATCGCGTGAAAAGGCTGATTGGTGCATCACAAATGTCGTGGACTGACCGCGGTATTCCAGTCGGTAAACGAGTACGTCTTTTTTTTTCAATGTTTTGGATATCCGATATCGTTCCCCATTGTGCTAGCAAACTCCGACAATGCTATAAACATGAACAGGGCAACGCCGAGAGGCGCGAGAGGGGATGTGTCTATGTCTTAGAAAAACAAATGCAAAGGTGATGCTGGGCTAAAGACAGAGCCTGCTGCCATTCAAAGAACTTCTAATCAAACAAAGTGTATCTGGAGTTGCCTGGCGCCTGTCTATTGCTCTCTTGGTAGGAAGGGGGCGGCTGCGCCTGGGTCCGAGTCTGGGATTGCGAGGGCGCGGGCGGAAGAGCAGGGGGGGCAGAAGCGGCCTGCTGAGTCCACTGTGTTGTTTTGACTACCATCTTGGCAAAGTACTGCTGAATGAATGATTCGCTTTGAAATGTTAGCATAGAACCGCATGGTCAGGAAGACAATTTCTTACGTGTAGTAGCTGTGATCTGAGTTGTGAGGTTGGACCAAATTGTGCGCCAGCTCGTGAGCCAGCACAACCCACCACCACACGGCCGCCTCAGCCTTTCCCTCGCTTGACTGGGCTGTAGTCATCTTGTTGGCGTGCAACTGCAAGAAGAACCGCAGGTTGCAGAAGATGCTGCCGCTGCTGTTGAAAGCAATGGTGGAACCTGACTCGTCGTAGAAAATATGAAGAACCCGCGGGGACAGCGAGTAAATGCCAGCAACCTCGGCGAGAAGAGAGGCGAACGCGTTGATGGGCCCGTGGTGCTTAGAGAGAAACTGACCCGACTCCAGTGACAAATTCTTGGAGACGAAGACCTTCATTCCGTTTGATGCTTCAGCCGCGAAAACGATATTTTGCGACGGGGTGCTGTCACAGTACGTGGCCTGCTCCTTGACTTCGTTCACGCTCGGCGGCGAGAACACACTGTTGGAGTCATGGGCTCTAGTAGAGTTGATGGCGTTCAGCAAATTCTGTCCAACTGTCGCCGGGTTGGTCACGCGGCCATCGTCCTTGGGTTTCTCTGTACTGCTGCTAGGATGGTTCGCAGCGCCTTGTGTCTGGTTCTCGGGGGGCCTGTCAATGAATTTCTGAAGCTGGTCTTCCGCCTCATCGTCCTCATTGGTTTCAAACCCGAAGCGACGCGTAAGATTTGAGAAGAGACCCTTGCTCTTCCGTGACTGCTGTGGAGGAGGCGGCCTGTGCGAATCCTCCGGGCTATCGTTCATGAAGGAGCCTGGCATGACTGGCTCAGGGGTTTTGGTGGCCTGCCGAGCAGCTTCGGCAGCCTTGGCTTGCTGGCCCCATTCTTGTTCTTTCTCTTGGATTCGCTTTTGCTCGGCCTCCAGCGCCTTCCGACGCTCCTCCTCGGCAACTCTTGCCTCGGCCGCCTTGGCTCGTAGGATACGATCGACGTTGTAACCTCGGGCTCGCAAGCCGTAAAGGTCAAGGGTAAGAAAGGGCTCGAAGAAGAGGTACGCTTGCTGATTCGGCCGGGACAGGAGGAGTTGACATATGGCCTGGCCGACTTGATACATATCAGGCTGTCCTTCTGCGGCAACGTATAGGATCCAAGTTGAACCAGACTGAGCGCTGGCAGCAGATCTCTTCTCCGTGTGCGAGTGGCTGTGGCCCTTGAGCGAGCGGCGAAGTGCGACGGAGCGAACAAGCTCAACTTGTAAGCTCTTCTCCAGCCATTTGGCATCGTGTTTGATGTGATCCCGTCTGTAGTTCGAATACTCGTGCAGGAAGATCTTGGAGCGCTCGAGGACATGCTTCCGTAATGCGGCTGCCCGGTCTTGCTTGTCTGCGTGGGGGCCGATCCGCACTTCCTCTT